ACTTTAGAGATTAATATTGGGTCATTATCTGATTCTAGAAATCAGATCTAGATAGGATATAGACCTAGGAAGCCCAGATCTTGGTAAATTCTCATTCATGGGATGGGAACAGACCACTTCTGAAGTCTCAGCTGTAGAAGGGAAAACTTCCACCCATTCTGAGAACATGTCTACCATAGTAAGAAGACATTTGTGTTTCTTATTAAGAGGCATGTTTGCTAGATCTATCTGCCAGTCCTCTCCTGGAAAATTACCCCCAAATTGATGTAGCTTAAAGGAAGGAGGGGGGTCTCAAGGAGGTTTGAGTGCAGGTGAAGCATCCCTGGTTGACAGCCTTCAGAAGGGAAAGGCTGGGGTGGAAGACAAGAGGCTGAAGGAAGCAGTAGAGAGGCCGAGATGGGATGGGAAAGAAAGGCTCTGACTGAGCATCGGTGGAGACTGTACCTGTCCTGTAGAGGGATCCAGCCCTGAAGGTCTGTGACATCTCCCATAGCCTGGAGGGCCTGTTGTTGGGACTCAGAGTGGGTAGGAGTTGGGCTTGGGGGGAGCCAAGAGGAGAATAGAAGAAGGATAGAGATGTTGGCTGGCTCCTTAGCATTCTTGTCAGCGAAAGCACTTCCCAAAGCTTTATCATTAGGGGCCTGGTGAGCTCTACAGTGAAGAGCTGCTGCCTGGCCTGCTTTGGATAGAAAGAGGTTTATAGCAGCATTGGGATTGGTAATGGATGGACCCTTGGTGGTGAGAAAGCCCTTTCCTGTCAAATGGAAGCATAGTGGTATAGGAGGTGGAATGCATATTTAGAATCTGTGTGTGTGGGTATGTGTGTTTATATTAGTCAGGGTTCTCTAGAATAACAACTTATAGACTTAATCTCTCTGTATATATAGAAAGGGGATTTATTAGAATGACTCAGGCTGTGGTTCAGCTATTTATTTTCAGTGCACTTCAATCATTTCTATATCTCTAGACTTAGTAACTGAGGAATTATGGTCTCTTGGGAGCATTGCATTTGCCTTGAAGGTTTGCAATCCGTTGTGTGGATGGACTATCTCTTTACTTAGTGAGTAGCCTACTCCCGAGGGCTCTATCAGAAGTACCAGAGACAAAAAAGACAAACTGGTAAACCAGCACCACATTGAACGAGGTAGAGAAATAGGCTCAGAATCAGTTAGACCCAGTGCATACACCGCAATGCCCATAGGACAAAAAAAAAAAAAAAAGTAGCATAGAACATGCCATGAAGTCTAAAATTTGGAAAGAGTGTTGATGGGGCTCTCCCCTCAGAGGGTGTAAGAGAGAGAGTTCTAGAAGCCAAACATGCATGACGGAAGCTCTGGAACATGGAGCTAGGTTAGCCTGGGTCGAATGTCCCACAGGAAGCAAACAAATTTATAAATCAAGGAAAAATTAAAATACTTTGGTGTGCACATCAGAGAAGCAGGGTACTGTCAGGCGGTAAGGCCTCAGTGTTATCTGATAGATAACGTCTATCCACCGGTGTCTCCTAGTCTCACAGGGTTTTGTTACATTCCAAAGATTTTTTTTATCTGTTTACCAGGATGTTAGATCTGACACAGAGGTAGGCAGAGAAAGGTGGCTGGGTAGGTTAAAGATCCCCAAGATAAACTGTGAATTAGTCTCTGAATTGCAACACTCCAGCCCCTCCACATTAATTCAGCCTTCCACGCACAGCTGCTTTCCAGCAATTTTCCTTCACAGTAAAAATAGTGAGTGAACGAAACAAAGGAAGGGGACAAGAAAGGAAAAGCATAGTAAATCTTAGAAAGGATAAAGAAAAATATTATGAAGAGGGAGAGAGAAGGCCAAGGGGTTAAGAGCTAAGGAGATGGCTCAGCAGTTGAAAGTGTTTTCTGCTCTTGCAGAGACCTGGGTTTGTTCCCAGCACCCACAGCAGATGGCTCACAACCCCTGTAGCTCCGGCTCCATGATATCCAGCACCTCTCCTGGCCTCTGTGTGTACTCATACGCACGCATACACACACACACACACACACACACACACACACACACACACACACTAAATCTTTTATTTTAAAGATTGCCCCATAATGAAAAATGTGCGACCAAGATAAATGTAAGAAGAGGAATAAAGAGTAAAAATTGTTGTTTGTTTGTTGGGTTTTTGGTTTTTCGAGACAGGGTTTCTCTGTGGAGCCTTGGTTGTCCTGGACTCGCTTTGTAGACCAGGCTGGCCTGAAACTCACAGAGATCCGCCTGCCTCTGCCTCTGCGCCACTGATCCCGGCATAAAAAAAAATGTTTTAAAAATAAAAGTAAAGTAAATTTAAAAGTATAGTGAAAAGGTTATTACTGTAAAAAGAAAAAAATGTGAAAGGTTGTGTGTACAAAGTGTGTTTACTAAGAAAACTTTTTTTTTTTTTTACAAGGAGGAAGCAGAATAAAGCACTTGTGGGTTCCCTCTGGGTCCTCTAAAATTGGAATCTGTCGAGTAGCATTGCTGGGGCGGGGCGGGGGTGGGGAGAGGCAGGTGGGGAATGGTGACAGACGTCACTTTAGCGGTTCCCTTCTTCATGGATTATCAGCCTCTGCTGGCCACACTTGGTACTGCAGTCTATGGGCTGGGCGGGTTCCCTCACCGTCTGGAGATTGCCCAGCCTCCCCTTTCCCTCCAAATGGCTAAGACGTTTGAGCAGGGGATGTCCCCCTCAAGTGGAGTGCTCTGATATTTGGAAGAGCAAACACAGCTGAGCTCTGTGTGGGAGAACCAGTCTGTAGGTCTTCAGAATCCACCCAGCATTAAATCTGCCACTGGACGGATGGTCGCCGAAGCTTCAGAGAGCTGGTTTTCTGTCTAGAACCTCACTGGAGGTCCCGCTCTAGAGGCTGATCCACCCCAGACCTCAGGCTCATAGCTTTCTCGCTGTCTTAGTCACTGTTCTGATGCTGTGAAGAGACATCATGACCAAGGCAATTCTTGCAAACAAAATTGGAGGCCTGCTTACAGTTTTACAGGGTTATGGCAGGAAGCCACAGGCATGGTGCTGGAGCAACAGCTATCCTGATCTGCAGGCAGCAGACCGAGAGAGCAGGACACCGGGCCTGGAGAGGGCTTTTGAAACCCCCAAGCCTACTGCCAGTGACACACCTCCTCCAAGGCCACACACCTCCCAATCCTTCCAACCCTTCTGGAACAGTTCACCAAGTGGAGATAAAGCAGGCAAATACATGAGCCTGTGGGGGCCGTTCTCATTCAAACCCTCCACACTCGCTCTCCTGTTCTCAGCAGGAGATCCCTCAGCTCTGAGCCACTCAAGGGTGTCTTCACAGTGTCCTTCACTACAAAGCGGAGCCTCCTGGCACCTGAATTTTCCATCCTGCCAATGACTGGCCCTTCCCGTCTCCATGACAGCCTCCTGTGGATGCAGCGAGGGGTAGGTTGATCACAAACTTCCTAACTTGTGACTGTTTCTTATCATCAGGCCTGTAGGGAAGTTCGGCCTTTGTGTTTTTTGAGACAGGGTTTCTCTGTGTAGCCCCGTCTGTCCTGCAGCTCGCTCTGTAGACTAGGCTGGCCTATAACTCAGAGTTCTACCTGTCTCTGCCTCCCAAGTGCTGAGATTAAAAGCCTGTGCTGCCACTGCGTGGCTTGGAAGTTCGGTCTTAAACATCAGGTTCCATTTCAAAACACTGGCCAGCCACAACCGTCCTTGGAGAGTAGCAAAATGGATACTGATCCCTCCCTCAGGAGGACAAAGTGACTCACCAGAACTCCCAGCTGGTGTTTGAAGCTTTCAAGGACCCTGAGCTCATTCTGCAGTCAGGTTTACCAGCTGCTTTTCACCAGGGCCATCCTGCTTACCTTTAGGATGAGGGAAACTCCACATGCCCCTTGTTGCTCCTTCCTCTCTCTGGAGTCTTCCGTAGTAGAGCAGGTTGACCCTGAACTCTGAATCCTCCTGTTTCAGTCTCCCAAGTGCTAGGTATGCAGGTATATGCCACCAAGCCAGACTTGTGATTTTTCATTTGTCTGGTTTTGTTGTTGTTGGTTGAGACAAGGTTCCACATACCCAGCTGGTCTCAATAGCAGCTAAAGCTGGCCTTGAACTCCCACCCCTCCCACTTCCACTTCTGAAGTGTTGGGGTTACAGGTGTGCACCGTCATACCCGGTCCCAACTTCCAGCTTTAAAAATGAGTTCACAACCCAGGAACGTTCGTCTAAATGCTTTAATTAAGATTCTCTGTACGGTGAAAGCCGTGTGTACATATTCATGCTTGCTGAGAAAACAGCTTAGACTAGTTCTGGTGGATGAGCATGTTTTGATAATGAAATTTTACACAGCTTCTTGGTTTTATTTCTATTTAAAGTATCTGTGTAGTTTTAAAAAGACGCGGTGCTATTCATTATCAGCCAAAATGCAAGACACACTGAGGAGATTAAAAGAGGGTAGTCATCAGCCACACACCTCTGTTCTGTTCTGGCCTCGGGGCTCCAATCTCTGAGCTGTGTCATTCATGCCCCAGTGGCCAGCCAGTCCGACTCAGCTTGGAGAATAATGGAGAATAATCTCAAACTCAGTCTACCCAGTATCTTCTTTCTGTGAGTGTTGCCCTAAATGAGATAGCTCAGTGAAATTAAGACGCTGCCAATCTCATTTCAAAATTAACGTTCTTTCCAGGAACCACAGGGACCTCTGGCTTTGCATAATAAGCAGTATTTTTTATTTTTTTTTAAGGACCAGCATCTAAAAGAGTAGGTGCATTCACAGAAAGCAGATTCTGCATGAAGCAGGGTCTCGCCGTGGAGGGGCCAGGGAAACATTCTGCTCAAGGGCTGCGTGTTTGTTTACCTTATAGAAACACCGGAAACACCGCTGCACGTTTTAGAACACCGGCCGAGGCTTTAGAATCTGGGGTGCAGCCATGAGAATGACACATAAGGGTGCTGGGGTTAAAAATAATCTGACTGGATTCTCGGACCACCTCCCCCACCCCCCACCCCCCCGCTAGACCCCAAAGGGATCACGGCCCACAGGTTGAGAGCCACTGGCTGAGCGGCGCTTGGGAACTCCCAAGCTGTTTGGCTATCGGTTTGTCTTCAGGCAGACTCTCACTAAGTAGCCCTGGCTGACTTTGAACCCAGGACCCTCCCGACTCAGCCTACCCAACACTGGGTTTGCAAGTGCGCGCCCCCAGTTCAGCTCTTCCCTATCATTTAACCAAAGGTGGGTACTGGTGGGGCCTTTGCCATATCACCAATCCTTGATTTTTTTTTTGGTAGAGCTGTCCTTGATGTCGGAACTCTGTTCTATTCCCTCCTTTAAAAATCTTAAAAGTGCAAGGCAGTTTTCTTCTTGAGAACAGCAGCTGTGGGAGGGAGGCAGGGTGTTCCAGGGATGGTAGGAGTTCAAGTACACCACCACCATCTGATGAAATTTGAGGGTTTCCACAACAAGCCTGTGGGGAGGTGCCCGGGGGCTAGGAAGCTTGGCGAGGCCGCTGGGCGCCCACCGGGGGATGGGATCATAGGGTTCCTGGGGCGCTGAAGGAGCCTCACTCCGCCTCCTCCTTCTTCTCCGCCAGCATCTCCACTGACAGCGTCTGCTCCCCGGGATCCGGGCCCGGGCTCACACGGATCTTCACGGAGGGCTCCGAGGGCCCAGCTGCCTCCTCCGTGCCTCCCTCAGGCTTCTCCGGGGCTGGCGGGGGAGAGCTTGGGGCTGGGGGCTCCTTGGGCTCTGGAGGTTCCTGGGGCGCGGGTTGGTCTGCGGCTCCGGAGCCCTCCTCTCCCCCGGCTTCCTGAGCCCTCTTGGCCTGAAACCCGGAGAGCATCATGTGAGAGCATGCTGCTCCACGGGGACAGAGAGGGATCTTGCAAGCCACCTCATCCCCACCTCCTGGGACTTCCAGAGGACAGTGGCTCGTAGAGAGAGGCCGGCATGTTTTGGGCAAAGTCTTGGGGATGTAGCCCAGACTGACCCTAAATTTGGTGTGGAGCACAAGTTGGCCTCAAACTTACGATCCTCCTCCCTCAGCCTCTTTGGTGCTGAGATTGCCGGTGTGGGTGGCCATGCCCCACTCTTAGGGATTATTAGACTATTATGGGCTGGAAGCCTGTTAAGTTGTGCATTCGAGGACAGATCCATCCCTGACTTGTCTGGGGAGCCAGTAACCATGAGGGTTCTCCTCTTGAAGAGCTGAGGCGTCCTGACACCCACTCTTCTTGTTAGTAATGGATGGTTTTGGGGTGAGTGAGAAAAACTAGGAGAGCATAGATAAAGCTGAGATAGGCGGGAGCACCTGTGGCCCGAACACCTTTCTGGAAGGTTCTAAAAGTTACAGCTCTTACAGGAAGAAAGGAGTGGGATACAGAACACTTAGGCTGAGGTGACCCTGTGTCGAGGGGCTTGGTGGGCAGCTGCAGTCCCTAACTTGTCCTCCCTCCATGAGTGTTGACCATCAGTAAAAATTAAGGAAAAGGCAAGCTTTTGTTTTGTTATGTTCTTTTTTTTTTTTTTTTTTTTTAAATCCCTGGGTCCTCTCCTGCTTGCTCTCTCACCCTAGTTCTGCAAGGAAGGCAGCAGGAGAGGGACCAGCCCTGGAAGGTGATTCCAGCAGCGTGCTCAGCAGGCCAAGACCCAAGGGAGAGCACCCCCTGTGCTTGTGTGGAGCAGAGACCCCTGGCGTTTGCACAAGCCATAGGTGTTAAAGGAAGGGGGCGGTGTCAGGATGCTTCTAGAACCCAAAGCAGCTCTGGAGACCTGCTGCTTCCTCCATGCTTCTGCGTGTCTTCCTACACTTGCCCTGCCCTACCTTGTGCACCCTAAATTCTCAAGACACCACCCCCCCACCCCGGGCAGAGTGTTCAGACGCAACACCTAAAGCCAAGAGCTCCAGACAGTAATGGGAGAATCATGAGAAGGCTGCTCACATGCTGTGCCATGTTCAAGGAACTTTGAAAGGGAGCCACTGCCTCATCGTTGCAGGAGCAACAAACCTGTCCTAGCTGAAGCCTTTCGAGGCTGTGAGAGAGTCCTTGTGCATAGCTATTGGATTGGGAGGTGGGTGGATGGGGTTTCCAAATCATTTAAATGGTCACAGATGCTGTATTAAATAGAACATCACTGTCATCTGGGAGGGGATATCCCCAGCCTACACCCACTCCTTCCACCAGCATCGAAACCTTCCTCCAAAGAACCCTTTCACAACTTCCAGTCCAAGAGTGGGCAGGTGTTGGGGTTCCACCGGCAGTGGCTCAAGAATTGGCATGTGGCCCAGCCCTGACTGATGATAATGAGTCCTGGGGACTTGGGCTTGACTCTATGGGGAAGATGTACTTCCTGATTGAGTTGCCACATGAAAGGATGTGGAGCCATCAGCTAAGAAAAAAGAGATGGAAAGCCCAGTCCGGCAGCTTAGATCCAGCCATATTTGAACTTGCCAATTAGCAAATGCTCTCGTTTTCCTAGTCTATCAACGTAATATCTCATTCAGCGGTTGTTTGAGAAAGGGCCTCGTAGTGTAGCTCAGACTGCCTTGAAACTCCCTGTGTAGTGCAAGCTGACCTAGAAATCATAGGAATCCTGTCATGGCTTCTCACCCGTGTGAAATGCCATCCAGGGTTCTCAATCTGGCTTAAACCTGCTTCTGTCACTTTTGACCCAACAAGGACCACTGCTGTAAAGGAGACAGAAAGTCCCACCACCAAGAGGGTGGCCAGCTCTTGGAGGTCCCAGGCCTTCTTGAAACAAACCTTCTGAGGGAGAAGGGCCAGGTCCCAGCCACATTACCTGTTCCAGCAGCTGCTGCTGTCGAGCGGCTGCCTCCAGCGCAGCCAGTTCCTTGAGCCTGGCTCTCAGGTGGGCCAGCTTGCCGCCCTTGGCCCCCTTGGCGCCCATCTTTCCTGCTGCAGCGAGGGCTGCATTGAAGAGCTTCGGGGTGCCTGCCCTCGGGGGCAGGATGAGCACACTCTTCTCCTCCTTTGGCTTGTTGTTGTTTCTCAGCATGCGCCTGAAAGAGAGCCACACCCACTTCCATGAGCATCTGCCTAGAACCCTCTAGGTGGAGGTGGTGGCTGGTGGCGTTGGTGCTGCCTTTGGCTGCTGGTTTCAGGGGGGTTGTGCTGGGGCAAGCATGGCACTGAGGGCTTATGCATGGACGAATGATTAGGACCGCCATGATGAGGTGGAGCTTACTGTCCGTACTATAGGGAGGAGAGGTCGATGAACTCGCCTGAGGTCACACTGGACATACTGAAGGACACAGCTATAGTTTGGACGTGGTTTGTGGGTATCTCCAAAGGTTCGTAGACTCGTGGTGTAATTGGGAGGGAGGCAGCATGGTACATTGGAAAGGCAACGCCTGTTGGGAATTCTTTAGGGTGTTGAAAATTTTTATCTAGTTCTTCCGGGACCCCGGTTAGTTCTCACTAAAGAAGTTGATATAAAAGTCATCCTCTCTGCTTTATCTGGAAAAGGCTGGGATTATTGTGCCCCTGAAAATGGGGGAAACTGAGGCTCAGAGTAGGGGCTGGGAGAGGAGCTCCAGGTGGCCTGGACCACAAGCCGTATCGGGTGTGACCCAGGACCCTGTTTGACTAAGTGATAGAATTTTCCATCAACCAGAACCTTCACCTTTACTAGGAAATGTTTATGCTATGAACACGTGATGAACAGCTTGGCTCAAGAACAAATGAATTTTGCCTTCAATCTAGTGGGTGAGACTGCTAACTGGCAAATTCATTCATCAGGGTGCCAGCTTGACTTGTTTGCTTTTTTTTTTTTTTAATGAGACTGCTGCCGGCTGCTTATCTAATTAGAGCCAATGGGCTTAGATTGTGTGTTGGTGATATTAATCGGCGGAGATTTGCATTTCTCCCTGGGCTTTCCCAGGAGACGCAAGCCTGTATGGTCATCCAGCAGAAGCCTTGGCAGCAGGCTCGCCAGCAGCCCGAGCACTGTCACCTATATCGTGTGAGTCCATAATTCATAGGTGACAGGCAGCAGGAAAGCTCAGTGTGGTGCTGGGATGACAAAGAGGAATGCGGGGGACAGCTGCTGGCAGCTGCAGGAGGCTTGGCTTCTCTTCGAGTCAGTGAAGGCAGACTGTGTCCGCAGGAGCAGGATTCTCCATGATCCAGGCCTCTGCTCTGGAAAGTGCATGAGGCAGGAGAGGAGAGAATAGAGACAGAATATACAGGCGGGGGAAAAAACCCCACTGACAAATAGGTGTCTTTGGGAGTATTACTTTGAAGAAGATCTGCGGTTCCAGTCTCTCTGTCTGCCCCTCCTCTCTGTCTGTCTGTCTGTCTCTCTTTTCCTCACCACAACAAGGTCCTCACTGAAGGCCAGTTCAAAGCAGCCAGGTCTGGCAACTATGGGCTGAAACTTTTGAAGCCAAGAGCCAAAACAAAACAAAATCAAATTTTTCCGCCTTTGCATTGATCGTATCAGACACAGGGTGCCACCCCGCTTGCCGCCAGCTACAGCACACACTAGGACACAGTCTATGGCCGCCCTGTGCAAGTCTGTGGGTGATCACAGGAGTCTGCAGCTAGAACCTGGGCTGCTGCTCAGACCACGCCCACCTGCCGCAGCCCCTTTCTTTTGGAATAGAAACAGCAAACCCTTTACCAAGAGCCTGTTTGTGAATCTTTAACCCCTCTTAATGATTACCCAGGTGCCTGGATTCCAGGAGAATGAGAGGAGCCATTCCCACTTCCCCAAAGACTCAGGTAAGTTCAGCCTTTGGCTTGAAATCTCCCTAGAGCTCCTGCCATGCTGCTGTCTGCCTCTCTGTCCATGGTGCTAATAACCCTTCTAATAAGTTTTACTCAAAGGACAATCTGCCTCAGTGTCCTCCTTTAACCGCAGGAGCACTGATCTCGAAGAAATATTAGCAAGAGGAGGTCTGCAAATACAGAGCCTGGGTTGGATGAGGAGGTACTTTCAAGCACTCAGGAGGGAGACACAGGAGGAGCAGGCGTTCAAGGCAGGTCTCTGCTACTTAAGGAGTAAGTTAGAAGATAGCCTGAGCTACGAGATCAAACACTAAGGCGTGTGTGCTACCACGCCCTGTTCAGACTATCTCACTTAATCTCCACATCAGACAAAGTAGGGGATGGTTACTTTTATTTTATAGATGCAAAAAGTTAAGTAAGTTTTGCAAATTCACCCAGCCAGTACCTCACAGGGAAGGGATTTGGATGTCACCTGCCTCCCATGCCTCCTGCGGGTTTCCATACCATAGCATGCTTCCTTAGCCATCCGGCTTGAAATCTCATCTGAAGGGCTGGAAAGCGGAAGTCGGCTTTTCTACAAATAAAACAACCTATTCCCCAATACAAGACACAAGCCCACATGCACGTACACTGGCATTGCTCGGTGCTGGCAGGCCGAGTGCTCACTCTGGAGGGAGGGAGGCACTCGGTGACTACAGCTGACTCTGCAGTGTGCTGCCATTCACATAACAGGAAGTAAGAAAGCAGCCGTGGCCTCGCTGTTAAAAAAAAAAAAAGGAACCACAAGACAGAAAATGTATTGTCCAATGAGGTTGGCCAGACTGGGTGGCACAGGCCTGTGAGCCCTGCTACTTAGGAAGCTGAGGTACAGGGCAGATGAAGATGGCCGCGCTCACCTGGACTACAAAACAACAGGAATGCTAGCCTGGCCAGTCGAGCAAGACCCTGCCCCAAGTACAATAAACTTAAAGGCTGGAGGTTAAGTTCAGTGGTAGAGCATTTGCCTTATATGTGCAAGGCCCTGGGTACTAAAGAAAGACAGAATAAAAATATCCTCCAGACAAACCTAATGCAGGTAGCCCCTTATAGGGCAAATGACAAGCTCAGGAAGGCTGTGACACTCTCCTGAACACACAGTTCTGTACTTTGGGAGTCCTGTTAATCTTTCGTATTCTCAAAACAACAATTCTTGCCGATCTCAGCAGCACATCCCGCAGGAAGCTGAGACAGGATGTTCGACGCTAGCCAGGCATGGTGGCACAGGCCTCAATTCCGGCACTGGAGAGGCAGGTGGGTCTCTGACTTCCAGACCAGGTAGGGCTACACAGTGAGACTCTACCACAAAAACAACATCAATTACGGTCAAGTGGGTTGAGCCTTAAGATAGAATGCAAGCCCAGCAAATCAGCCAGTGCACTGCAGGAGAACTAATCAAATGTCTATCCGCTCCCACGCTGGGGAGTCCCAGGCACACTAGCCAAGGGCTTTGTCTCTGAGCCATATTCCAGCCCTTAACCCAAATAACTTCAAACACGGTGTTTACCATAGCTACTCTAGCCAACCATGACAAAAATAACTGTCTACTCCACCTGGAAGGCTCGCTTTCTCACAGTGGAGAGCCGGAGTTGGGAAAGTCTTGGGCATGCTGTAACAATCCCTGTGAGTTAAAAATGGGTCAGAAATTCTGAAACATTGTATCGTAGGACCTAACAAATGAATAACTACCGCATAGATAAAGGCAGCCGAATGTCTCAGTGCTGAGAAGTGTAGAAAGGGAGACAAACTCTAGGGTTGCTCCGAAATTGTTTTATAGACCTTCCAATTCATCACTAGCTCCAGAAAAACCAGTGTTGGCATGTATGTGCACACCTGCGTGGAGATACACCTACTGATATACACACATGGGGTTTTCCTTGTGCAGAGACCTAAGAGCAGACCCATAGCAATGAGCTCTCCTGAGGTTCAGATCTTGTTTCAATTTTATTTTTACTTCATTACTTTGGGAAAGGGTCTCCCAACATAGCCCTGGCTGGCATAGAACTTGCAGCACAGACCTGATTGGTCTTGAATTTACAGCAATCCTGCCTCTGCCTCTGGGATTATAAGCATGAGACACCATGTTTTGGTTTGCTGTTTTGTTTTTTGTTTTGTTTTGGTTTGGTTTTTGAGACAGGGTTTCTGTGTGTAGCCTTGGCTGTCCTCCTGGATTTACTTTGTAGCCCAGGCTGGCCATGAATTTACAGAGATCCACCTGCCTCTGCCTCCCTGAGTGCTGGGATTAAAGGCGTGTGCCACCACACTTGGCTTAGATCTTGGTTTCTAAAAACAAAAACAAAAACAAAACAAAAAACAAAAAAAAAAAAAAAACAAAAACCAATGGTGGGCTGGAGCTAGCTACCTCAGTGGTAAAGCACACGTGCCTAGCATGGATAAGGTCCTGGGCTCCAGGCCCAGCCCATCCCCCACAAAACTCCTCAAAACACTTCTCACTAGAAGAAATCTGGTTCCTTGGAGAATTTGCTATTTCCAGGAGGGCAGCTGTGTTGGGGGGGGGGGGGGGGGGAGGGAGCCCAGGTTAGCCAGGCTGTCTTGGTGTGCCTGTTTGTTCCCTGCAGACACAAGGAGATGCTGAATTGTAATGGGGCATCAGCTTGAAGAGGTCCCACTGGACAGGGCAACTGGAGCCTCAGAAAAACTAATAGGTGTTCATAAAGTAAACTAATGCCTGCTCCTAGAACGAACAAATAAATAAATAAACGTTCTTCCTTATAGTGTGAACCACGGGAGTGGAAGGCAGGAAGAGGTTAGGCAGTGCCGGCTCAGACAGACCACTGAGGAGCAAGGAGCGGAGGGCAGACTGGTATCCACCGAACAGCAGGCGTGAGTGGGGTAGGAACAGGAACGCCTGTGTGGTTCCAAAGGGATTCCCCCCAATTGCTTGTCAAGTACAAAGAAACAGTATATGTGTAATATCGAAGCTGTGGATTGCGGTGAACTCCTTACCTGGGTAGAACCCACACCTTGTGTCCCCATATGCTGCTTTGAGGGACTCATTCACCTCAGGTGCCATCATCAAAAACCACCAGACATACCTAATCCAAGGAGCATGCTAAAACTTAGCTGCTGTTGGCTGCAAAGAGGTCAAAGCCATTAGCGATAACCATCATAAGGAACTGTCCCAGGTCAGAGGAGACAAGACACTGGGCACCTTAATACAGGGCAGGGCCTTTGACTTGATCCGGGAAGGAAAAGAAGGCTTACCAGACACTCAGCACAACCTGAACACGGATTAGAGAAGACAAATGCCCCGATGTTCACAATGTTATTACAGCGATAAGAGAGTGCCTGCTTCTCCCAGGCATTGCTCAAAACCTGAAAAGAAGAGTAGAAGGGATTCCGTACCTGGCCTTCTTCCGGAGCAACTTCTGAGATTCGGGATAATGCACCAAAATTTCATTCAAGTCCTTCTTGTCCAGAATGAAGAGGTTCGTGAACCCGTGGGCCACCACGTTGGCCGTGCGCCGGTTCCCACCCCCGACAGCCAGCAAGCTAGAGCAGAAAAGGGAGGCAGATGAGACCCTTGGGAGGCTGTGGTTTTAGAGAAATTGTCTTTGGTTTCTGTTTTTTGTTGTTTTGTTTTGAGACAGGATCTCACTAGGCAGTCCTGGCTGTCCTGGAGTTCAGGCTGGCCTTGAACTCTCAGACATCTGCCTCCTCTGTGCTGGGATTAAAGGTTTGCCTTGGCATTGTTTAGGTTTTCAAATAGAATGTTACTGTTTGTTTCAGGCTGATTCCCTACCAGCCTCCACAGTAACTGGGACTACAGGTGTGTGCCACCTAGTGGCTTACGTTTTGTTTATGTTCATTCAAGTCCGAATTTTCCCACTCCCTTCCTGGTGCGCTGAGGTTGTGCCCATCCTACACATTCTGGCTGTAATGCTTACAACTCTCAGCCTATCCCCAGGGTACACTGACCTTATCTCTCCAAACACGGACCCGGCTTTGAGTGTCACCAGTACAGCCTTCCCATCCGGGCCGCCCAGCACCTGCACCTGCCCGGCCTGAATAATATACATCTCTCGGCCAATCTCCCCCTGGAAGAGAAGAGGGTTAAGTCCCACACTCCATAGCCACGGAGGCTGCCCCAGCCCTACACCACCAGATCGTGTGGTGAGGTTTCGTTGCTTTCCTTTCAGCCTCCATCATTTCTTTCTTCTCTCCCTTTCTCCATTTTTTTGAGACAGGGTTTCTCTGTGTAACAGCAGCCTGGCTGTCCCGGACTTACTTTGTAGACCAGGCTGGTCTTGAACTCACAGAGATCTATCTGCCTCTATCTCCTGAGTGCTGGGCCAATAGCGCCACCATGCGCGGCCATCTTTTCTTCTGAATGTTGGGTACATGATGCTATTTGGCAGTTTCCACATGTACTACCCTGTGGTCCTCGCCTGAATAAGAATCTATGCCCAGTGCCTCAGGATCCTGGCCAGTGTTTACAGAGACAGGAGGGATAATAACAGGCTCTACCAAGATTGTGATGCAAGGTCAAACCAGGACTGGGATTTGAATCCAGACAGCTGGACTCCAGGGTGCATGGTGGCTATGGTTAATCTCTGTCCCCAAACCCAGACTCTGCCTGCTGATACCCTAATGCCCAAGTCCTCCTAATATTCATTTACTTGGCTGCTTAACATGCTTAAATTCTATAGACCCTCTGTTGAGATATACTTTAGTTCTTGGCATAACCACAGCTCCTCTGTTAACACCTGCCTTTAGCATATCAGAAGCCATTTTGCCTCCAAGTCTCCATTTTGACTATAAGGTAAAATTAAGTTCAAGTTCTCAGGCCCTACAAGCCTGAGACTGGGATTACAATTCAATAGATCAACACTTGCTGCTTAGAACAAAATAATAGATGATAAATGCATGTTCTGCCTGAGTTAAAGATAAATGTATGTTCTGTTAGAGTTAAGACCACAACATCCTGCTAGTTTCCTTACTCTCAGAGAGCTGGAAAGCCTCCAAGAGCTCCCCTACCCTAAATCCCAGCCAGTCAGCTTAAAGTGCTTTGTCTAGCTACCTAGATACAATACAATACACTTGGAGCAAAATCGATTACGTTTAGCTGGTCATAATGATGTAATACTGCCCCCTACTCCCTGCCCCCCACCCCCCCTGCTTCCTACACCTGGTTACCTGGTTGTTACCTGGTTACTTTTTGTTGCATAAAGAGCCTGCCTTAAAAACAGAACGGTGTCATAGTCCGGTTCCCGAGTCCAGATTATGGCCCTAACTGGTGAGTTTTTGTTCATCATTCAATAAACTTCCATCAGTCTGAGTCAGTGTGCGGCTATTCCTGAACCCATAACACGGCAATAAGATCTTGCAGACGTAATTCAATCCAGATGGCCTACTGGAGTAAGTTGTCCCTAGGCCAACTGGGATTCTGACAGAAAACGGTTTGGGGTATAGGTATAGGTAGAAGAGAGCCAAAGAGAAGATGTGCATTGTGCTGCCTGAGGAAATGGGTCATTCAGTTGGTCTGTGAGCATTCACACAGTGGCCTGAATCCCGGGCTAAGCCAAAGGAGCAAGAAAGGAACAAATGAATGAGTGACTAGACGAATGGCTAAGGGAGCGGATGAATGTATAGGTCACTCAATCAGAAACAGTAACCTGCCGCACGTCTTCCAATCCCCATGCCTTCCAGACCTTGCCCTGGAGGCCACCTGCCAGTCACGATCAAAAGGGGTGACAGTAAGCCGGTTACACTTTGAACACACACACACACACACACACACACAAACACACACACACACACACACACACACACACACACACACACACACACACACACACACACACACACACACACACACACGGTCTGGCGTTCCCTCCTCTGTTCAGGGTCTCGGAGAGCCAGGGCGGAATCAACAGCAGAGGGCGCTGCCTACACTGCTCTCCAAAACCTGAGTCACCCGATATAAACCCTACACCACTACACAGCAAACGGTGACAGCAACTGTGCCACCCCCTGAGGGAGGCGCTACTGGTACCTACACTTCATCCAAGAGAAGAACAAGACTCAGAGAGGGCAAGCCAGCCACCCAATGCTGCACCAAGAGGAAGTGGCCCGATAAAGCACTCTATGGCTCCCAAACTTCTCCCAGCCCCTAAGGCAGCAGCTTTAAGTGCTCAGCCTGCTAAATTTCCTTCTCTTCCCTTGGCTCAGCAATTCACTTCCTGAAATGTTATTGTTGCGAAGCTTACTGCCCAGCAGACAAGCCCAACCTGCAGCTCTCAGAGCTGCATCTGGCCAGGGAGAGCTATGGGTGTGACCCAACACAGATTTGTGGGCCGAACTGGAGGGATGGCTCAGCAGGTAAACACATTTGTTGTCCATCTTGGTGAGCAGAGTTTGACCCCCAGAACCTACATGGAAGGAGAGAACCAGATCCCTCAGGCTGTCCTCTGACTTCGATATGCTCGTCATGGTATAGCCTTCCCACATACTGCTCTTCCAGAGAAAGAGTAAAAATAAAATCCTTAACACACACACACACACACACACACACACACACACACAGCCAAGCATAGTGGCATACATCTTTAATCCCTGCACTCAAAAAACAGAGGCAGGCAAATTTCTGTGAGTTCAAGGCCAGTCTGGTCTACACAGTGAGTTCTAGGACTGCCATGGCTGTCTAGAGAGACCCTATCTCAAAACCAATAAATAATAATAATTTCTTTAAATGGCCGAATCCACCTGACAGGTTCTAACATACACGTTTCCTATGTGACTCAGAACAATGAAGGTTGCTGGTGTGGGGTGGCACAGAGTGCCGGGGCCTGTGGCATCCGACAGGGCGGGCATTCCCGTCTGTGCCCTTAGAGACAACCCCTGCTCCTCTCATGCCCACTCTTGCTATTGTAAAAAAGTGGGGCCCGGAGCTAGCCAATGTCCTGTTTCCTCCAGACATTTCAATTTTGTCTGTGAGATCTTCCAGCTTTTAAACATGAAGAATTAATGCCGCTTAAGTGAATTCACCAAACCACGTCGGGGCTGTAAGCTGCCCATGGGTCACTGGGAGCAGCTGTTAACCTGGCCTGGCGCTTTGCTCACCCTCCTAATGGGAAGACCGAGACCCCGGCGGTTTCGGGGCTTGGAGCCCCTCCACCCCTCTCCTCCAGGCGGCTCCTCTATGTGAACAGGGCTTTGGAAGCACTTGGCCGAGCCCAGGGCCCTCCCCCCCCCCCCCCCCCCCCCCGCCCCGCGGTATGGCGGCTGTGCTAGGCGAGCAGACACCCTCACAGGCCCCGCAGGCACATCTCCCCCCCAACGCTCACCTTCTTGCACACATAGTCGTTGGGCAGGTAGACGACGGAGCGAAGGCGCTTGAGCATGTCGAAGATCATCTGGCGGTCACAGCCCTGCCCGGACAGAGGGTGTCAGAGGGAGGCAGGGGCTTTGCCCCCAACCCCCCAGCGGGAGGGCACCGGTGGGCGGGGTACCTGGAAGAGCGCCACTTTGCTGACAATGTTGTAGTTTACGTCAATGGCCAGGTCCAGTCGCATCTTGTCTGGAAGCTGCACCATCAGCTCTGACTCGTCTGGGAAGGAGACCGGGCAGGGGTCAGAGTTCAGACCAGGCCTGCCCCTCCCACGCCCACACACCATCTTGTGGGGCCGTACCCTGGCTCAGCCAGCTCAGCTCCCCTGCCATAGGGCGCTGCTCCAGATTCCCCCTGTCAGGAACACCATGGTTCCCCTCCTTTCCAAACTCCTACTCATCCTTCGAAACTAAGGATTAATGCCGCTTCCTCCAGAAAGCCTCCTCAGCTTTTGCATGAGTAATCTCTATGCCGTAGTGCTTGCTATCCCTACTTCAATTTTTTTTTTTTCAGTGTGTGCATAGGCACACACGCGCTGCACCACGGTACACATATAGAGGTCAGAGGACAACCTGTGAAGGTCAGTTCTCTCCTACGGTTTGGGTCCGAGGGATTGAGCTTGAGTCATCAGGCTTTGCAGCAAGCACCCCCGTTGGCTGCACCATCTCACTGGCTTGCCCACCACTTTATTCATTTGGAGAGGAGGTCTAGCCTTGGCTCAGACTGAAAGCAGCCCTCCTAAGTACTGGGATCCTAGGCCTGGGCTGCCACGATGCTGGCTGCTTCCGTGGTGGAAGCTGCTTCCACCTTGGATAGAAGTTCATATCTCAAGGTAGATGGAACAAGAGGAGAGTGGCTGTCTAGAAGCCCCTTAGGTCTTCCGGTCTCCTCGCTGGCCTCAAGAGGTTCCTCTAACATCTATGCTGGGGGTGCAACCACCACAGACCCCTCAGGACACAGCTCAAGGGAAGCGCTGGCCAATCAGGGAAGTGGACGGAGGTTAGTTGGGCGAGGTGGTGGGGGGCGGCTAGGGGCTTGGCCAGTCTTACCCAGCATGCCTTGTGAATGCCAGGTGTACTCGTACCAGGTCTTGACGCGGTTCTGCACAGACCTGGGGATCCTGTAGAAGTTCATGTACTTCACCGTGCTGTCCATGCAGCTTCGGTAGTAGGTCTGCCCCGCTGTGGCAGCCCCCACCACATCTCTCATCTGGAGCAAGACAGCAGTGAGGGGAGGTCAAGGAAGGGGCGGACCCAAGAGGGTGAGTGTGCAGTAGTACACGGATCAGGGACTATGTTTGTGGGCAAGTCAGGGAGGGACACTGTAGATGGCCACACATGAAGCGTGGGCACTAGAAGCAGGAGGAAGGCTGTCAACCTCCTCCCTGGTCCATCTCAGGTCCCGGGCACAATGATAAGCTGGGATAAGCTGGGTCTTGGATACAGCCACTCTCCCCAGGGAAGAACACGGAGCCCAGCATATTGTTTCTCAGAATGGGACCCTTCCAAGGGCCTCGTGCCCTGACTAGAACGCAAGTTACACATCGCCATCAAAGACTCCAAAGGGTTCTCTTACAGGGAACAGCCCGGGTCCCCCTCCTTTGAAAAAGCCATGTAGCCACTTGGCTTACTGTGTTCCCCAAAGGAAAGGCCTCAGACAGTCCTGGGACACAGACATCCTCCGGTCTCACGTGGCCCAGCCTGAGTCCTCAAAACCACAACACACAGAGAAGTTTCCAGCGTGGGGTTGGGGATGTGTGAGCGCAGTGACCTACCTGCCCAATCATCACGGAGAAAGCGAAGACGCCTGTGAAATAGTTCAGCAGCTGGAAGACAATTTCAAAGAGTGTCTGGGGGTCAGGCAGCCCTCCGATGGTGATGAGAGTTTTCACAGCCCAGTAGTAGCATCGAATGTAACTGGGAAGAGGTGGAAAGGGGACTTTGGTCATTACAGGAACCGCTCAGCTGATCCCACCATCCTGGTTCAGATGTGCGCAGGGACCCCACACAGCCACAGGGGCAAGGGAACGCCCCCACCTCCAGCAGTGCGGTACTCTCAAGTGCTACCCGGGTCAAAGCCCTGTGAGAACACGCCATCCCCGGCCCCGACTCCAGGCTGAGCGCTGCCAGAGTTCAGCAAAGGGGAGGCCGGCAGGGCCAAGCAACCTCACTGACTTCCCGGCCCCCCCCCCCCCACCTGCTGCTTATGCCAGGTACTGGCCAAAGCGCAGGCCCCAGGGCCACTTTGTAACCAGTCTGCCTCCTGGGCGCAGCAGGAGAGCATGCTTCACAGGCAATTGTGAGGGTGAAGTGAGTTGCCGGAAGAGTGATCAGGCCCTAGGTCAGCCATCAAGGTCTGCACCAGTGCCTGCCAGTAGCTGCAGTGGGGAACAGGGCAGACTGGCCCAGGTCTTCCAGATGCTTCCTAGAGGAACAAGCTTCCAGAGTGCACTCATGCCTCATGCTGGGAGGGAGCAGAGGCTGCAGAGTAGTAGCGGGGTGTGTGTGTGTGTGTGTGTGTGTGTGTGTGTGTGTGTGTGCTGGGAGGGAGCAGAGGCTGCAGAGTAGTAGCGGGGTGTGTGTGTGTGTGTGTGTGTGTGTGTGTGTGTGTGTGTGTGTGTGTGTCTGCACAAGCGCTTCAGACAAGCTGTGTTGCCAGTTAGTTGTCAGGACTTCTGAGGACAACTTACCAGTCTGCCTTGACAACCCCTACCATACCAGTACTGGTCACCAGGGGGCGCATGAAGCAATTTAGGCGGAACTGAGCAGCCCGGGACCGCCTTCCCACCGTCCAGCCAACCTAACAGCTCAGGAGCTGAGAGTTCATGCAGCTGGGCAGCGTCCTCGAAGCTTTGGCTTTCTCCTAAACGCTTCTAGTTGGAGTAATCCCCCCTTGACACGGTACATATTGGGACCTCCTGGAGCGGTCGTGTGTGTGTGTGTGTGTGTGTGTGTGTGTGTGTGTGTGTGTGTGTGCGCGCGCGCGCGCGTGTGCGTGTGCGTGTGCGTGTGCGGCCGTCCCGCTCCGTGCTGCAGGCTGGGATAGAGCCCAGTGGACTGCCTTAGGCACAAATTGGTTTTCCAAGGCTCCTTGCTCCAGTACACAACAGAGGGTGGTGGCTGATTTTTAGTTTATTTATAGCTATTTGTAATGTATACTATAACTTATTTATGAACTATAAAAGAGTTATTTATAGTTATAATAATTTATAGCTATTGTTTGTGCTATTGAACTTCTTGAAGAATTTTCTGTCACTGTGTTTTGTTTACGTACGCGGGGTCCCCGGAGCACTCTCCTGGGGAAGAAAGTGTGTCAACAAGCAGGACTAGACCCCTGGGTCTTTGGAAGAAGCTCCCAGAGCACGGCCGAGACCTCTCTCCTTCCAGCACTGCCAGCTTGGCCTGTCACCAAGAAGGGGGTTCTTAGATTATGGGCACAGAGTGCTCTGAGAATTGAAGGAAAGCCAGAAAACTACCTAAAAAAGCTAAAGAATTTAGTTTTTGTTTCTAGGCTGAGTCCGTCAGCGTTTCCGGGAGCCAGGTTCTGAACTCTTTCCCCGGCATGCTGGCTTTCACAGCAGGGGCAGGCGCTGGCCAGGCATGCAGGCACCAGCAGAACACTCACACTAATCGTTTTGTTTTGTTCCTCACAAGAATCCTTAGGAGCATTCTAGCAGTTAGGAAGCTAGTCAGGATAGAAAGTTCAAAGCCAACATGAGCTACAGAGTGAATTCAAGGCCTGCCTGGGCAACTTAGAGAGACTGTCTTAAAAATGATTAATTAACCACACAGAAGACCCTGGTTCTGCCCCCAGAAGGAAAAAAAAAATAATAATAATAATAATAATAATATATATATATATATATATATATATATATATATATATATATATATATATATAGCAATGAAACCAGAGGTCAGAGATTCATGTACAATGATGTAGTCTGTGTGAATGTGTGTATCATGCACAAGACTTGAAAGGTGTAAGAGGAAGCACGCCACTGTCTAGTCAAGTCAACCACCTGTCACTCATGCTTAACACAGCAATTGCATGTAGAGGTGATAATTTTGTCATTGGAATTAAGCAGACATGTTACTAAAATTAATTTCACCTCCTTTTGTGTTTATATGGCAGCTATGAAAGCATTTCAGGTTGCTTGGATGAGTCACACTATTTTGTGAATTGCTGAGCCTGGCTTTAGGCAGTGGGAACCCAGCTAAGGTTTTCAGTTTGCTGTCCATCATATTGGGTATATGTGAATGCATAACACCATATTTAATTCTTTACTGACTCTAAGATTAAAAAAAAAAAAAAAAAAAACAACAACAAAAAAAAACAACCAGGAATACACACCAGGCTCGGAGGTACACACTGGTAATCCCAGCACTTGGGGAAGCAGAGACAGTCAGATCTCTGTGGGTTTGCCACCAGCCTGGCCTACAAAGCAAGTCCAGGCCAGCCAAGGCTACACTGAGAAACCCTGTCTCAGAGGGAAAGAAAAAAAAAAAACAAAACAGGAAAACTCTACTCTCTACTGTTATATTTCTTCAGTTCTAAAATGTAGTAATTGCATAGCACACCAGAAGTCAATTCAGCTTTTTTTTGGGGGGGGGGAATTATGTGCTGGGGATTGAGCCCAGAGCTGTGTGTGCTGAGAAGGGCTGTCCCACTGAGCTGCACTGTCAACATAAATTTACAAAAATAAATATCATGTTAAGTATCCACATGGATTATCCATAGACCTCAAATTTAGAAATGTTAAAATCTGTAAAAGTAGGTCTCTCACAGGGAGGAGGGAAAAAACCACAATATCACGCAGATGCTCTGAAACTGTGCCACTTCCGCCGGCTATCTTCTTTCATTGGTCCAGAGGTATGTTTCTATTTTTTTCCATATGACAAATGGCATGATGGGAAACATCTTTATCCACAAGTCCTGGTCCCCTGCCCTGAATATTTCCTCACAGTAAAGTCCATGTAGTGTATTTGCCAACCCTACAGGACTAGGGGACTTGGAAAAGATCTTTCTAGCACAGAGGTTCTCAATGTGTGGGTTGTGACCACTTTGTGTGTGTGTAGGGGTCAAATGTCATATATTTAGATTTTGATTCATAACAGTAGGGGCTGGAGGGCTGGCTCTGTGTTTAAGAGCACTGACTGCTTTTCCAGAGGACCTGAGCAAGCCTCTGGGAGCAAAGCTGTCTTGGTAACACAATAGCCATGTGACACCTTTCTAGCAACCTTCTTTTTGTGACGATCAAGGACAAAAATCCCACCCACGTGATGCCCTGGGGGAAGCCTGGCTCACCTGTTCCCCACGCCATCGTAAACCCAGTGAGTGGACCCGATGCCCTGGAAGGCTGATGCCCAGTAATAAAGACAGGAGTTGAGGTGCAAGCTGTACAGCAGGTAGGCAGTGGTCCTGATGACCCTGTGGAGGGAGAGAGCGTGACACAGCCATGGAGGCGACCCTTGCCCCGGGGGGGGGGGGCTTCGGAAAGCTAGATCTCGGCTCCCCCAAAGCCCACCTTATAGGTTTGTCTCTGCTGGAGCCTTATAGCCCTACCTAGCCACCCAAACAGTGGACACCAGGTCCCAGCCATCCAGTCAGTGGATACCAGGTCCCAACTACCAAATCAGTGGATGCCTTGTCATTTTCTCCTCTCTCTCCCCTCTGCTGGATTCCTTTACTTCTAAGGTGTAGTTAGTTGTATGACACACCATTGATTCAATTCAGGTTTTTCTTGGGGGTTGGGAGGTTGGAATCAAATGCCCTTGACTGGAGCCTTGTCAAAAATGCAAGGCTGGAATCAACCTAGCTGTGGCAGTGAAACCTGTATACCTCTGAAATCTGCATACAGATGAATGCTGGGAAAGGTGAGGGGCCAAAGGGGAAATACAGCTTGAGGGTGGAGCAGGGAGGATTCTGCTGTTCACAGAGAAACAAACAAGGAGCCTTGTCCTCCAAGCATGGCCCAGTTGGCCTGGGTCCCCACCTTGAACATCTGTTTTTGCATCCACTGTGTTCTTACAAATTGTCCCTTCTGTTAGAGCTAGGGTGCCGGCTCGTCACTGAGTCAGCCTGTGAGTGTCCTTGACACAATGGGTGGGGGAGGGGGCATTTAATAAGACATTCCTGGTTCTATATAGAACCAACCAACCAACCAACCAACCAACCAACCAACCAACCAACCAACCAAATATCCTTTCAGAGAAGAAGTTGGACCAGGAACAGGTCTGGCTTCTGGAGGCAATGGGACCTGGGGAGAATGGCTGAAAAGGGAAGGCTAGAGTGTGGTGTGTGTGTGTGTGTGTGTGTGTGTGTGTGTGCGCGCGCGCACTGACATAAATATATACACATGTGTGCATGGGGAGGTCTTACCTGTAAACGTAGGCTTTGCTGAGGATGGCTTCCAGGCGATTATTAAACTCGAAGAAGGCCATGTACTAGGAGGGAGGAGAAGGTATCAGGACAGCCCTGTGCCTGCTGGGGGCATGGCCCACAGCTCTTGCCTTCCACCCTACCCCATTGTTACCAGTCTCCTTTGCCCTCTTTTTCCAGGTCACCTTGGTTACCCATGTTAGTGATTTTCCGTTTACTGTCTTTGGAAAAGGGCCCCAGTATCATGTAAAGGGAACAGTAAGTTTAATTGGTTGGCTGGAAAAGTCTGCTTAGGGGATCCTGAGTGCTCTGCGTGGCTGCCTACCCTGATCCCATTCACTGGAACTCGTCAGATCTCCACCCTGCATCAAGCAGATCCTTCCAGGACCCTGGGTCCAGCCAGCAAAAACAAAACAAAGCAAAACAAAACAAAACAAAAATGACGGATGTACTGATAAAATGGGTGCTGTGTGTTCAGCTCTGTCCTTGGCACACTTTTATGTTTGTTCCCTTGGGCAAGTCACCCAGCCACCCCAAGGGCCAATTTTCCCATCTTTTGAATGGAGTCCATTATAAAGCAGAAGCCCCTTCCCTGAGAAGCTCTGTAGGGATGGAGTTGGAGACAGATTGCCTACATCCAGATCCAGACTTCACTCCTGCCTATCTATGTGACACTGGACAAGTTCCTTAGCCCCTCTGTGCCCCCTTCCTCATTTCTAAGATGGTAAGAACAGCATTCATGTCCCGGAGTTGAAAAACTAACATCAGTAAAGAGTGTGGATCAGAGACTGACAAGAAGTGGCCCCAGATGCCCAGCGATTATAGGAAACTTCTTAGTAAGACAAGCTTAGGAGGCCCTCCCCTGGGCCTCCTCTTGGGGAGACACCTTCCCTCCCCCGGTGGCAGTGCCTATATCAAGCACGGAGGAGCCAAAGTCCTTTGGACCTGCCGATCTTACCTTCAGGCAGCGGGGCAGGCGAAGGAGGGGGTTCACACCAAATTTCAAGTAGAGGAAGTCCAGGGGCAGCAGGCAGATCAGGTCCATCTGAAATCCCAATGGGGCACCATGGGGACCGAGACACAGAACCCCAGGGGTAGGGGGAGCTAAGGGGCACAACTCTGTCTGCCAGACATGGGTCAGAATGCTAGGGGCAGTGTCAGATGGGAGGGCACAAGGCTTCCCACCAACCCACCCCAGTGTGGCCTCATAGTCCCGGCCAGCACAGGGGTTCCCAACCAACATAAGGAGCCCTGTGCCGCTGCATCAGAAGTGTAGGCACAGACACGGGAAGGTGTTCTGTGAGGCCACCCAGCCTGGACTGTCCTGGAAAAGTTGTGACCTAATGGACACTCCCACAAGGAGATGGGACCAGGCTCTCCTTATGCCACAGAAACCACGTGACGAAGGCGCCAAAAATACCCAGGGACAAGGGCCCGTCCCCGCCAGTGTCTACCTTAAACCGGCGAGACTTCAGGTAGTTGCCACGCATCTCCTTTTTGTCTGTCTGGAAGAAGGAGGCACAGAGATGGGAAATGGTGTTAGATTAAGCTATGACCAGAGAGAGACAGTGTCCTCACAGGCGCATGCAGCTGCCCCGCAGGCTTCGGGGGAGGGGAAGGGGGACTAGCCATGGGAACGAGCCTTGCTGGGGTCACCAGCCAGACTCTGATCTCACAGCTGGAGGAAAGCGAGGGGCCTAGAGCCTATTCTCTCAGTGCCTGGCTCTGATGGTGCCAGGGAGGAGGCTGGCCGAGGACTCCTCACTTTTGTCGATCCTTCCATTTTTGGCATTTGCTGTCTGGGGTTAACATAGGCTCCTTAAGCATTTTAGATGCACGTTACACTTGAATTCATGCTACCTGTTGTTATGATAGCATTTGCAGCCTGTGAAACAGCTGTTGGCATAGCATCATCTGCTATGTCTTCCAACACATATGGTGCAATGTCCAAAATTGTAACTGCTAGAACGTTAAATTTTATTTTTGCCAACTGTTATACTGATCCCCTTAACGTGGTACTAAAAAACCTGGACCATGGACTAATTCTACTTCACACAGCTTAATAATTAGCCTCACAAGACTATTGCTTTTCTTTCTTTCTTTCTCTCTTTCTTTCTTTTCCTGTATTGATTGATTATTTTTACTAAAAGAGTTATTTTTTTCTTCATGTGTATTTGCCTGTGTGTGTGTGTGTGCTGGTCCCTACAGAGGCCAGAAGAGGGCGTTGGATCCCCTGTAGCTACCTTATGTGGGTGTTGGGAACTGAACTTGCAGGAAGTATAAATGTACTGCTGAGCCATCTCTCCAGAGCCCTTAAGCCCTACATTGACACAGAGGAGCACTATTCCGCTCTACCTCCTGAGTGCTAGGGTTATTGGCTTGGATCAGACCACCAGCATCACAGTTAGGGCTGTGGTTTTATCACAGGCTGGCTCAGGCTGTTCCACATAGCAGATCATCACCGTGCCTTCTGGGGGACACACTCAGCTCCTAGAACCCTGCACTCTGCATGCATCTAGTTCTTGCATCATGGCGCTGAAGCTCAGCCAGGGGGTTCAGCTAGAATTTGAAGCAGGTGCACCTGCCCCAGAGGCCATTCTCTGGACCACTTCTCCTTTAATTCTATCAGATGGTCTGAGAACCAGTTCATTTAGGAATAGTATCTAATGTATATAATTTGAACACATGCAAGGGGTGCAAAAAAAAAAAAAAAAGATCACAGCTGCTCCCAGGACTTCCTTGCTCATTCGGTCAGTCCCCCGAAGGCCCTGGCAATAATGTCTTCCCTGGTCACCCCTCCTCCACTGGCCTGTGACTCACAATGATGTCCCCGCCTTTGACAAACTGCAGGCGCATCTGGAACACAGTGATGTCCAGGAGGTAGATGAAGTCGCACAGGTAGTCCATAAGTAGCCAGAGGTGGATGTTGTCTGGCTGCTGGTACGGGAAGGCCCAGCGCACGGGAATCAGCCAGCAGTTCCAGTTCCAGGCCAGCACCACAAAGAACAGCCACAGGATGTACATGAGGTCTGAGGAGGACAGAGGTAGGCTTGAAGGCCAGCAAGAGAGGGCCCTTCGCCCGGGCAACTGGGTGTGGATTTCATCACGTGGAAGACAGACAGATGGACAGGGAGGTAGATGAGTAGATGAATGGATGGGTGGACATGGAGGCCCCTGATAGGCCCTGAAAGATCAAGTCTTCTAAGGAGAGGGTGTGGTGACATTGTTAGATAATGACAGTTAAGTAGTGACCCCTTTTGTTTTCCTTCTTTCTGAAATTTAAAAAAAAAAAAACAACATTGCATTCATTTATTTATGGGGAGTGGGGCATATGGGTACTGCAGAGCATTTTGGAGGTCAAAGGTTAACTCTTGGGGGTTAATTCTTTCCTTTCATCATGTGGGTCCTGGGGATAGAACTTGGACTGCCATATCGAATTTGCCCACTGATCTCACCAGCCCACGAACAGGGCTTGACGATATAGTTTCCATCCTAGGAAATCCAGAGCAGTAAATGACACGTGGGGAGTGGACAGACGGCTGAACAGGCAGGTGGGTGGATCACTCGGTGTCACTTGGTATGTTAGGGACCTAGTTGCCACCAGGGTTAGAGTCCTACCCCTGGGAACCTCCCTGTTCAACTCTGAGGAACTTCCTCCCTGGCACCTTGGTCTTCTCAAAGCCACAGGAATTCGCCAGCTGAGAAAGCCAGGAACTCCAGCGAAGTGTGGTGCATAGCGGGAGGGCCCTGGGTCAGGACTACTACAGAATGGGCTTACAGAGAATCTGCCGAACTCTGCCCTGCCTTCGCTCAGAGCTGGGGCTCCAGGAAGGAGGACTTGGCCAAGGTCAAGGGGAGGAGTCTAGCTGGCAGCATCTGAAGGTAGTACACATTCCTCTGTGCCTCGACTTTGTTGTCTATAAGATGGGTGTGGCCTGTGCTCTAGTCCAGGGATTTGTGTTGAAGGGTCGGGCAGGGACTTGTGGAGTCATTTGGAAAGCACAGGGAGTCATGGACCACAGTCCATGGTGTTGAACCCTGCCTCCCCATCTCTCTCAGGTTCTCCAGGGAACTCACTGGTCAGAGGGTCGATGCTCTGCGGGAACTGGTACGTCTTCCAAGGCCTGCGCTTGAACTTGCAGCAAAGCATGTCGCAGTAGTGCTCCTCCTCTGCCGCCTCTGCCTCCACGGGCTTCGGGGCTGGGGCTGCTTCTGGGGCCTTCTTGGCTGGGGCTGAGGGGTGACATCAGTGACTTACTCAGAATGCTAAAGGACTCAACCAACTTGGGGACATGCTGGTTCAGACTTTTTAGAGTAGGACTCCGCTCTGTCATTATCTGGCTGGCACTCCTCCTCCTGTGGCTCTGTGACACTTGGTGACAGAAGCCATGGCTCTTGGGGCTCCAACACATCTGTGTGTCTAGTGTTAGATATGTGACATCAGGCTCTGCTAACCTGTCATGGGCATTTATCCCATGTACATGACCCTTATCAGAAAAACCTAGAAAATATCCCTGGAAAAAAAAAAAAAAGCTTGTTCACCAGGCTCGCAGGAGTCAGAAGCAGGTGAATCTCAATGAGTTCGAGACCAGCCTGGTCCACAAAGTAAGTTACAGGCTGAGAAGGGCTACCCAATAAGACCCTGTTTTTAAAAGAAAATACTTTCATTTTCTTTCTCTGTCTCTGGTTTCTGATAGTGTCTCACTATGTAACCCAGACTTGTGATCCTCCAGCCTCAGACTCTCAAGTGCTAGGGACTCCAGGCATTTGTCACCTTGCCTGGTGACTCCTTAAAGAAAGGAGAGGTTAGGCCATCTCATACCTGTAATTCCAGCCTGTGGGAGGAATTGCCATAAGTTTCAGGCCAACCTGGGGCTACTGGGTGAATTCAGAACAGCTGGGGCTATAGAGTGAGATCTGGTCTCAAAACAAACAAACAAACAAACAAAAAAAAAAAAAACAAATAGACAAAACCTGTTCAGGTGGCCCCAGCAACGCATGGGTGGTCCTGAACATTAGTACCACCTGTTCTCCAGAGCAGCTGCAAGACTGAGATAGACAAACCAGCCGCTGTGCCCTATGGGAGAAGGCAGGAGAGTCTATCAACCACCCGCTTGTGAGAAGGCCAAGTTCGCCTTGAAAACCTTCTTCCTCTCCTGAGCACACATATAAGCTCCAAATTCAGAGTTTGGGGGTCTGGGCTTTTCTCATACACCCCCAACCATTTGCTTCTGCCATGCCTCCCCAGCAGGAGTTGATGGTGTTTCTTGAATACCCCATCCTCCTTAGCTGTGGCCACCTCCATCTCCACTCACAGGGCTTGGGGCTCTCCTCATCAGAGGTGACATCAGGCTCAATGAGCTTCTCCTTGACCTTCTCTGTCCGCTCCTTGAACATCTTCACCAGCTCCTGGAGACGGTCATTGATGATGGCGCTGTTCTGGCTGGCTGTGGAGGCTGCACGGTCCTGGCCACTGTGGAAACACAGCTGAGGATGAATACAGGACGGGAAGGGTCCCCAGGATCCCAGGCCTATGCTGGGAAACGTTCATGTCTCCTCTTCTGGCAGAGCCCAAGGGAGGTCAATCCATTCCTTCTGACAATGTCAGACCCTGCCCACTCTGGGTCCACTCTCTTAGCTTCTGGAGCAACTGAGAGTTTAGGCCACCATGCGTAGCTCAAGATTTCTCTTTCTAATCTTGGTCATAACATCTACATAGACTACAGCAGAGCCACTGTCACTTGGGTCCCTAAAACTTGCAGGAAACAGAGCCTTCTGCTGACCCGAAATACACAAGTAGTTGACTGAGAATCTCACATATGAGAGCCCAGCTATCAGAATGCGATGAAAATGCAGGATCCCAGGGCACTGTCCAGGGCTGTGTGGAGCCTGGAAATCTGATTTAACAAGCTGCCAGATAGGAACCTACAGCAGATCCTATGGTCTTATTCTACCTACTGACTTATTTGGGGTTCAGTGCCAAGATCTTTGGTGGGGAACGGGAGGCATTCCTTGGTCTCTGATCCCTGCTGAAATGAGCACATCTGGCCTAGAGTCCAAGCCCACCCTACTAAGTCTGTAGCACCCCTGGGCCAACCAGGAAAGTCCTGGGCAGGAGAGCTGGCCCTGCCTTGCTGCTCCAGAACATGAAGTTCACCTTGTGTGGGGTTCTGAAAGCACCCCGGTTCCTGCTCCTCTCCTCGTCTGCTCATCCCAAGCCAGTCTCTGAGACCAGGGTGGGGGGCTCTACTTACTCAGCCTCCTGTGGGGTGGTCGGGTCTGACCAGGCAACCACTGGGGACTCAGCTGGTGACAGGGCCTTGAGCTCTTCGGCTTCATCATCCTGAGAAGGTAGCTTCTTCCTGTAGAGACCCAGACAGGTAAGGGGCCTTCAGAGAAGGCAGGCTAAGGGAGGTAAATGGCTGCCTTTGAGCTGGTTCCAGGGAGGCAAGATGGCCTCAGTGTGCATAACTCTCAGCAGTCTGGTCCGAGGTGAACAGCATGGGCTTGTATCATGTGTGTGCCCTTGGAGTCTGATCTCGACACAACACTTTAAGCTACCTCCATCTCTTCCTCTGTAAATGGCACTGAAGCTACCCAATGAAATAAAGAGGTATTTGTCCCTCAGTCAACTCTCTGCCTAAGTGTCCTTCTGCCTCCTGCTTCTGATCTGAAGCCCCCCCACCTTATCATGCCATCCTCCATCTGTGAGACAAAGCCATGGAGTACAATCCCCACCTCATAGTGTAACCTTGAAAAACTCCCCTGCTCCTTAACTCTAGGCTCCCTAACTAGAGAACAAAGCCTATCTGAGGGAGCCCTGTCATCCAGGAAGCCACAGGCTGTTGTTTTTGAAGCCACCAGTAACTTGTCTGATTAGGCCTGAAGGTCCACAGGTCAGAGCCTGTGGGTGGCATGAGCTTGGCACTATCTGACATTGCCATCTGAGGGCTAAATCTCCGGATTGTCCCAGCCTCTTCCTCAAGAGTGGGGATGAGTTGCTTTACGGAAAAATCCAAAGACCTGGGAAAGAGAGAAAGGCAGACATTTCTTAACACTACCAAGAGAGCCATCCCCGGGCTCAGAGAAAGAACGGCTTAGGGTGGCGTACAGTAAGTCACAATGATGGTATCTGCAAGTCAGGCCAGCGTCTAGGAATGATTTTTCTGGGCCTCTAGGGATCTCTGTATGTGTCTGTTTGTGCCTGTGTGTGAGTGTGTTCCTGTTTCTCTCTTGTTTTCTTTTTCTTTTTTAAACAGGGTCCCTGTCATGTGGCCTGAGATGGTTTCAAACTTGTGATCCTCTTGCCTTAACCTTCTGAGTGCTGAGGTTAGATGCATGTGCGATCAGCGTATGGTTTAGAAACAAACATTTTATGAGTTAACGAATGTATAAGCGAAGATCAGCCGTTTCCTAAAGACTTGTCTTATCATGTAAACACAAAGTACCCAGCTTTAACATGTGGAGCCAAGAGTCTAGGGACACAGATAGGCATGCTAGCACAGGGAGGCAACACGTTAGCCTGTCAAATGGGGATCAGAAGAGCAGAGAAGAAGATGAGGGCTTAGGACTTACACTTGGGTGAACCCCAAATGGGAATAACATGGCAATGCACATGGATGGGCCCACAGAAGAGGGACAACTTTTTGGATAAAATAAAATAAAAAGTTATGATAGGTGTGATGGTCATACCCCCCAAAGTCCCAGCACTTTGTGGGGGGTGGATAACAGGCAGGAAGCTTGTGAGGTCAAAGCAAGCCTGGACTCTGTGGTCAGACACTGGCTCAAAAAAAGAAAGGAAGGAAGGAAGAATGGAAAGAGGAGAAAAGACAGAAGGAGAGTGTTGGGACAGAGTGTGGCTACAGAGTCTGCCCTGCTGTGAGGACTGGGTGCTGTGTGCTGAACTCAGTGCACTGTGATTAGCTAGGGGCACACAGGCTGCTCCAGCTGTGGCCTTTAACCATGACACTGTGGCAACACAGTGAAGCACTTTGGTGGGTAGATGGAGAGAATCAGTGGCCCAAAGTTGTCTTCTGACCCCTCACACGTGCATGCCACGGCACATGCACAAGCTAAGTAAGTAAATAAGTAGATGTAATAAAAACCTGTTCTTGATTAGGATGTGAGATGCTGAACTAGAAAAAAAAAAAATTAAGAGAGGAAAAATAAACAAGACCCAGCACTCTGGCAACTGATAATCACATAAGCAGTTGTGCTGCCAAAATGTAAAATAAAGCAAAACAAGTGGTGGGGCACAGAGGGGCTGGAGAGATGGCTCAGCAGTTAGGAACACCGGCTGCTCTTCCAGAGGACCAGAGTCCAATTCCCAGCACCCACACGGCAGCTCGCAATTGTCTGTAACTCCAGTCCCGGAGGGTCTGACACCCTCACACAAATGTACATGCAGTCAAACCACCAATGTAAATAAAATAAAAGTTAATAAATTATTTTAAAAAAAGAGGGGCAGATGTTATTTGTCACATTTTGTGTATACGTAGACATTAGCATTAGCATTCCTCTGTGTCCGCACCCAAGAGTGTCTGGGATAGGTCTCCTCTAAGAATGCTTCTTCTGACCACCAGCAGAGGAGGTCTCAGTCCTGCTGTTTCCCATCTCTAACAGCTGCCAAATGGGCTAGAGGCACAGCTGGGACAAAAGAGCAAGCAAAGCATCCTGGGTAACCTTTGGGCAGCTGCGGCAGAGCCCGGAACAGCGAGGGTGTCTGATTGGTCAGGAGCCGGCAGTGGTCTCTCCGGTGAAGAGAACTTCTCCTCTGGGATGAGGGGTCCCCTGTCAGCATCTGTGTCTTCCACCTGGAGCTCTGGGTGCTCTTTCGTGGCTGGTACTGGGGAGAGCGAGGAGGGGAGAGTGAGAGGGAGAAGCCTGATCCTGGGACTCACGGGAGGGTCTCTGGTGGCTTTGCCTCCCTGTGGGTCCCTTAGTCAAGCTCCATGCACCATGAGGCCCTTTGTGTGTCACTACCGCCCCAGCCCCAAACCAGGAGCTGGAAAATCCGACTCAATGCCCCAGAACTCTCTCTCTTTGCTCTCCAGCATGGAAAACAGCAGCGACCTGGGGAGGCGGGGACTAAGTGTCACACTGACAAGTCCATCTGCTTCCCTCCCAAGGTAGGAGAAACCAGGTCTCCTAAGCCTAGAGGAGCCTTGGATTCTTGAAGAGACTCCAATTCAGATGTATTTGCTGTCTTGGCCATGTGTTTACCTGTGCGGTATTTGCATATATACCAGGAGCCCCCCAGAAGTTGCCTGCTGCCTAACTGGACCTCTAAAAAGCCTGGGCCTTCTTCCTCAGAATCAGATACTTCCTGGGGAGCCTGGACATGGAGGACTCAGGATGCTGGAAGGCTGACTATTGCAGTGAGCCTTAAAGGCAGCAAGCCACAGGCCTGCTCCACAGTGAGGCAGGAAAGAGACACTGAACTGAAATAGCTATCCCTGGGATGTTTCTGTTCGTGGCCACCATGAGAAATCCCAAGCATAGCTCACAGCTATACAATGGGAAGGGAGCCTCAGAACTGGGTGTTTGTTTTGCTAAATCATAAGCCCCCTTGGAGTAGGACAGCAAGAATGGGAAAGTTTTTTGTTTGTTTGTTTTTAACTGAGGCAGATGGTTTGCTAGATTCACAAGAGGTGCTCCAGGTTGAGGGGAAAAGGAGGTCTCATCTACTGCCCACTAGTCCCCATGGGAACAGAAGAGGAAGGACCCTAAAGGTTAGACCCTCAGTCTCAGTACTGACCCCAGCATGGGGTGCTACTCCACCCCACCTGCCCTACTACCCACCACTACCATCCCCCAGCTAAGAGGAGAAAGAACCAGCTGGCAGAGGGCAGTTCAGATGAGACAGGTTTATAGTATATTGATTTCTAGACTAATAATACTAGAAACAGAAACATTACTGAAACACTGAGACAGTGTTTGCTGTTGAGCACTTTCCACGTGCTTATAAGTCAGCATTCCCTTCCTCCCTCTTCTTTTTCGAAGTTTAAAAAAATTACATTTAGTAAGCCAGGCATTGTGAGGCATGCCTTTAAACCCAGCTCAGGAGGCGAAGGCAGGTGAGTATTTTGAGTTCGAGGCCAGTTCCAGAACAGACAGAACTAAACAGAGAAACCCTGTCATGAAAGGAAATTACATTTATTATGTGTGGGGTAGAAGCATATGCCATAGCTTGTGTTCTCTGTGTGTGTATGTCCGGAAGTGTGTGTGTGTGTGTGTGTGTGTGTGTGTGTGTGTGTGTGTGTGTGTGTGTAGGTTACAGGACAACTTGTGGAAGTTGGTTCGCCCCTTCCATCATGTGGATTCTGGGGATTGATCTCAGGGCACCAGGCTTGGTGCCAAGCACCTTGGCCCACTGAGTCATCTTGCTAGCCATCCTGCCTTCCCTTTCCCCTTTCCTTCCCTTCCCTTCCTTCCAGGGTCTCACTATATAGCCCAGGTTGGCATTGAATTCCCAATCTTCCTGCCTCAGTCTACCGTGCTTGTTTACAGAGGCTTCCTGGAACTCCCTCTTGTAGCCCAGGCTGGCCTGGGACTCAGAGATCTGCCTGCCTCTGCCTCCTGAGTGCCGAGACTAAAGGCGTGCGCCACCAACACCCGGCTTCTGGTATCTGCTTTTAAATGTCAAGTATTTACATCTCTTCTCTTCCACCACAGCCCCCGAAATGGGGTCTTGCTGTGTTGGTTTGAGCTGGCTGTGTGTTCTGGGCTCAATCAGTGTTCTTGGCCGAGCTTCCTGAGGGTCTGGGACTGTAGGTTCTCAGTACGTCAGGGTGTGTTAACCTCCCAGCAGCTGTGTGGGGCAGCGGTCACTCTGCTTCCATTTTGTCCATAAGGGAACTGAAAGGTAGGAAAGTTCAGAAACCTGCTGCACATTTAGACCCAGCTCAGATGGGCTAAGGCTGACAAACCAATTTCGAGTTTTGCTGTTCTCCTTTTATTTTGAGGCAGGGTCCTGCTATGTACCCCAGGCTATCCTCAAACTCGAGATCTTCCTTCTTCAGCCTCCCAAGTGCTGGGATCACAGACGGGCACCGCCACACCCAGAGCAGGAACTCTCTGCTTGCTGCACCTCTTGGTTTCCACCTGTAGCACCTAAAGTCCTTGTGCTGTGGCTGTGGCATCGCTGCGTTAGCCACGTCCTTGTGGTGCTGCTGGGGGTGTTTCCCAGCTGGAGTCCCCAGTGTCCGGGGAGGACATAGGCGATTCCACACACACAGACCAGAAAAGGGAGACAGAGAATGAGACCGTGACACTACTGTCACTCTCCTTCTTGAGCACAGAGGGGGCCAGTTAGGTCAGTGCTTCTGTGGCCTTGTCAATGCCTCTTGGGCACAGAGGAATCCCCTCTGGGCTCCAAGCCTTCAGTGGACTCTGTATCTCATGAAAACACATGAGAAATCTTGGCTCCATTTTCCCCCCTGTGTGTTTGTGGTTACTCCTACTGAGGCTTTCTGCTTCTGTTTCTGTTCCTGGGATTTGTTTCATTTTTTTTTTATTTTTATTTATTTATTTTTTTTTAATTTTGAAGTAGTCTTGATTTACAGCCCAGGCAGGCATTGAACTCAGGCTCCTCCTGCTTCAGCCTTCCTGAGGGCTGGGATAGGCCTAGCCTCCTAGTTAGCTTTACCTGTTGACTGGACATAGCCCAGATTCATGTGAGAGTTTCTGGTGAGAGTTTCTGGTGGGAGTTGCCTCCATCAGATTAGCCTGTTGGACATATCTGAGAAACATTTTCTTAATTGCTGATTGATGTGGGGGAAATCTAGCCAAGCCAGGGGGAGCGGGCCAGCAAGCAGCACTTCTCCGTGGTTTCTGCTCCAGGTTCCTGCCTTGAGCTACTCCTGCCTTGGTTTCCTTCAGTGATGGACTGGGATCCAGAAGTGTAAGCTAAAATAAACCCTTTTATTCAGTACTTTATCACTGCAACACAGAAGCAAACTGTTGACCCCTTTTGTTTAAGGCAAACCACAGAGCAGTAGTGCTGAGACCAGCTACCAGCAGACAGAGCCCAGGTGTCACCCCTCATTGCAGGCATGAGCTCACCCCATTCTGTGCCCACTGTGAGCCAGGAAGAGGAGACAAGGACAACCGGGGCCCTTTCTTATGGAGTGTCCTGTTCCTGCTACTGCTCTGATCTCAGAGGCGGCCTGGCTCAGTGTCAGCACACATGGCAGTCACATTAAAAGGGCTTAAATCAAGGCAGAAAGGGACAGAGGTCACCTTGGAGCTCCTGTACTCCCCAAGCACTTTGTCATTAGCCAGTGAGCAGTAGCAGCCCAGGGACTAATTGGAACAGGCCCTCAATCTACGCCAAACCCCAAGAACCCCTTCTCCTGGCCTGCCTGCACCTGCTTCCTTCTCCCTGCACCTGCCCACTTCTCCTGCCTGCACCTGCCTGAAACTGCCCATTTCTCCTGTCTACACCTGCTTGCTTCTTCTGCCTGCACCTGCCTGTTTCCAATTTTTCTACAACAGGAACTATGAATGGCCCTCAGAAAGTGCAGCAGACTCTCACGGTCACCCAAGTCTATTTACAATGGACCCCCACATCACTCTGCCATCTGATTTTTCCTCCTTCCATGGCCTCTGGCCATTCTTTGAAAGTATTTTTATTAATTCTTGAGGATTTCATACAATGTACCTTCATCATATTCATTCCCAACTCCTCCCAGATCCATCCCACCACCTCCCTAACTCCCCCAAACTTCATGTTCTTTTTTAATTTTTAGAATAAGCCATCAACTTCAATTTGGGCTGCCCATATAAACTTCTGGGTAGGAGGCCATCCGACGGAGCATCATTGACCAACCAGGAGCCATATACTTAAAGAGAACTGACTCCCTTCCTCCCAGAAGCTATCAACTGTCCATAACACTGCACTTAGGGGTGGGGGTGACTCCTGCCCCTTGAAGCGGCATTCCCCCCAGCTTCATGCTCTAGAGAGCTGACTGATTTTTTTTTTTTTAATTAGAGTGGGAATGGCTGCCGATATAAAATGTAGTTGAGGGCCTAAATTGCTAATTGTGACATTTTAGGCATCTTGAAAGAAAAGCAACCCCCCTCCAGTCACTACAAAGCAGGAGGAAGGTCTGTAGAGGAAGGGGGGGGGTTTCCATGAGCACAAAGTATATTCCCACAGCATTGCACACAGGTGGGAAGACAGCCCAAGCCATGCAGAAACCCTACTATGCCATGTCCCAAGCATGCTGGGGCAAGATCACACTACCCAGGCGACGGATGGAGCTCCTGATCTCCTTGGTGAAGTTGGAGTTGGACAAGGCTGTCCTCCGGGAGACGAGGACAGGGATGCGGGTGACTGTGGGACGGTAGCTGGGCACATTGGGGAGGTGCTCTGCTGGGTTTGGGAGGCCAGGTCTGGGGCCCTCCTGGCCAGGTGGCTGGTCCTGAACCAGGCGATTCAGCTCCATGTTCAGGCCTGGTTTAGCCATGGTACTGAGTCCCGAAGGTGGCAGGCAGAGGCGTGACCCTGGGGGCTGTAATCAGGAGCCAAGTTGAGGGGTGGGGTACAGGCGGGGCTCCTCCCCACAGGAACACAGACCAGCCTAACACCTGTCTGCCGTGGCAGCAGTCACGCTCAGTTCTGAAGCACCCACTCCTGTCCCCAACACTCAACATTAAGAGCATCACCGAGTCACCAAGATGGTTCATCCAGTAGCTTCTAGACACTTCCCAGAGCCCTGAGTCTGCTTATCAACCACAGTAGTAGTCCCCATATCAGGTGCAAAAGATGCCAGAGGTGGAACCTCAGAACGCAGGGTCCAACACGCTGAGCTCAGTGCGATCTTCCCATTCAAAGAAACCCTGCAGCCAATTCACCATCCTTCCAACCAAAGACAGACAGCTGTGCTAGGGCCCTGGGGTCCACGGGTTGCATTCTAGACTCACTAGAGGATGCTTATGTGGTCCTGACACCCAGCCTTGCTCCAGCTATCAGAGAAGTGGGCCTCAAAGTTATTGCCTCAAATGCTAACACGAAGACAAATCACCAGGAACTAAGCAGGCTCCACAGGGCTTGGTAGAACCTGAATTCTGCATTCCTAACCAGTTTCCAGGGGACACTGAAGCTGTCGGCTTTTGAGTAAGGAAGAACTACTTTCCCAGACTACTTGGGAAAGGGGACAAAGCCAGCTTGACTACTTCTGTTTGGTCCTAGCTTTCACATCTCTGTAGATGCCCAGTGTCCAGCCTGGACACCATAGGGCCTTTCCGATGAGTGTTGATGTCGATAGAGAAAACTTTTGAATGACAGGCTGCACCATCATTCAGCCTGTGTGGGAGGTCCTAGCATTGCTGCATTCTGAGAGATCTAGCTCTGGGTCCTCAGCAAGGAGGCGCTAGAAGCTAAGGTAGCCTGTGCCATCACTTTTTGCTTACACTGGGACACAGCATGCCTCAGTTTTGTTATCTGTAAGATAATCTGTCGGCCTCACCAGGCAACTCAAGGGCCAGTAGCTTGAAGAACAGAATGTGGGGGTCCATAAATAATGCAGCCCTGCAGACCAGGATGTCTTTGTCCAGGGGTGATGGGCCAGCCTCCTCCTTTGCACCCAGTCCCTGGGGTTCCCGGGTATGGTGGTTTGAATGAAAATAGCCACCCACAGGCTCATAGGGAGTGGCACTATTAGGAGGTGTGGTCTTGTTGGAGGAAGTATGGCCTTGTTGGAGGAAATATGTCACTGGAGGTGGGCTTTGAGATTTCAAATGCTCAAGCCAGGCCCAGTCTCTCTCTCTCTTCCTGCTGTCTGCCCATCAAGATGTGGAACTCTCAGCTCCTCTCCAGCACCATGTCTGCCTGTGTGCCGCCATGCTTCCCTCTATGATGGTAGTGGACTAAACCTCTGAACCTGTAAGCCAGCCCCAATTAAGTGTTTTTCTTTATAAGAATTGACATGGTCATAGTGTCTTTTCACAACAATGAAACACTGACAAGATAACAGGCCTGGTTTTGGGGTGGTAGAGAGGACCACAGTAAAAAGCTGGGTATAACTGGAGCTCCCCACCTAGGACATGCACAATAAAATGGGAGTGTGGCCACAGAGATGGGGCGTGGTCACACCATTTACAGGCTCTGTGCCCTCCACCCTCAGGGTCTCTGCACAGGTAATGGTGAATTTTCCCTGAGAGGAGGTGGTATGAGGGACTGGCAGGAAAACACCCCCAACACTCTGGGAGTCATTTATCCAGTATCTTTGGGTGACATCATCCATTTGAAATAATGTGGCTCCAAAACACAGAGGAGGGTCTTTGCCCAGGACAGAATGGTGGAACCCTAGGCAGGAAGGAGATGGAGGATATAAAAGAGGGCCGCCCACCCCGAGATGCCACTAGCCTTCAAGTCCTAGAGCATCCTTGTACAGCCTCACTCCTACCTGCTGAGTTTGTGGCCTCCTCCTCCTGCTTCTGTTCCTCCTCCTGCTTCTCCTCCTCCTGCTCTTCTTCCTCTTGCTTCTCGTCCTTCTTCTCCTCCTGCTGCTTCTCCTCTTCCTCCTCCTCCTCCTCTTCCTTCTCTTCTTCCTCCTCCTGCTTTTCTTCTTCCTCCTCCTCCTGCTGCTTCTCCTCCTCCTCTGGCAACTCCTGCAGCGACACATAGAGAGGACAGTGGGTGCCCCACTGGATTCCCCTCAACTCCTATCCCAGTACCAACCAGGGCAGCCCATCTTCTGGGCCTTCCAAGGAAGTGGCTTATTACCTGCAGAGGGCAATATGCCTAGGAGCCCAAGGCCCTAAACCCAGGGGACAAAGCCACCCCATCAGCCACCCCCAGAATCTTTACTCCAGGACCACACCTCCCTTAGTATGTCAGCCCCTTGGGGTACCCCTATGATTTCAGCCCTCTCTGTCCTATGGACAGCTCACCAGCAAACCCCATTCCCAACCCCTTCATCAACGGCCCCAGGTTCCCTGGGCTTTGAACACTCTACCTGGAGTGATTCTATCTGTGGCTGTGTCCTGCCTAGCTGGCACTGGTCCTCATCAGCCTGTACCACCAAACAGCTATCCAGCAGGACACTGAAATCCAACAGAGGAAAGAGCCAGTGTTAGCGGAAGTTGGCATTTCCAAACACTGCTGAAGGTCAACTCTGACCAGGAACAGGGGACACAGATGTCAGAGATTATATCACATCCACACTGACAATCTATTGTCTGAAGCAGGGGCCTGCAGTAAAGGCCATGGTTATGCAAGGTAAGGGGCTTTCCCAAGGAAGTGGCTTATGTACTGGGCCTCAAAGATGGCTTCAGACATGGGGAGAGGGCCGGTCCAGAAAGAGGATGCCATAGTGGATGCCCAAGGGAGCATCTCTGGGGTGAAGCCCATTCAGAATATTTACCCTGGGTTTCCCCAGATCTGATAGAAACCTTAGTGGCTGCAAGCAAGGAAAAGAATGTAAGAAAAGCAAGGGCTGGTGGGTAGCTCAGGGGTAGAGTGCTTGTCTGGCATGTGAGAGGCCCTGGGTTCCATCCCCAGTATGGTGGTGGGGTGTGGAGAGAGGTGAAGTGACCCAACCAAAATCACAAACCTTAACCCAAGGCACTCCTTCCCCATGAGCGCAGTGCCAACAGTGCAACGCTGAGGGCTTCTGACGTCACTGGCTCAGATGAGAAGTATACATGAGTGACAGGGCCAGGAATACAGAAGGCCTGGGGAGGGGCAGGAGGAGACTGTGGCAAACAAGGGAACTCTTGTCTGTGTGAACGGGGTCCCACTCTGTTTGGAATGAGGAGCTAGGAATATCAGATCTCCTCTCTTTCCACAGAAATCTGAACCAGGTTTTTCTGGTGGAATGTCCTGACATCTGAATCCAGAAGAGCTGGGCAATCCCAGGACCCAGGAAGTCAAAGAGGGAGGATCAGAAATAAAAGACCAGCCTTGGTTTTATAGCAAGTTTGAAGCTGAGCTACATAAGAACCTATCTCAAATACCTCATGTCACCCCCGCCTGCCTGCATGCACACACAAGATTCAGCCTCTAGGCAGAATTGGGCCCTTAGATATCTGTGTGTGACTTCTATGTCAGAATGATAACTCAGAACTGGGGCTAAGATGGAGTGTGTGTGTGTGTGTGTGTGTGTGTGTGTGTGTGTGTGTGTGTGCGTGCGCGCGCGCGCTTGAATAGGGTCTATGTTGTCCAGACCAGTCTAGAACTTGCCATGTATTGGAGGCTGGCCTAGAACTTGTGATCCTTCTGTCTCTGCTTCTCTGATGCTGGAATCCCAAGCATGCACTGCCAAGGATGGACTCTAACATGACTTTTGTAGTTAGAACTAGGCTGTGCTTTCTAACAGCCCTACCTGGCCCTCCGGGCCCTGTCTCCTCCCAATCACAGCGGATGGTCCAAGGTGTCATGTCTACCTGGAGGCTATGCCTCAGCTCTCCCAAGGTGGGTAAGCAGGGGCTGGGACAGGGTGTAGAGGAGTCTGTGTGAAGCCTGCTGCCAGGGACTGTGACGGCAGCGTCCTTGACTGTGTGCCAAGTCCTGTGCCCAGCTCTTTGCAACATTATCATCTCTCTGCTTCTTTACCCAAACACTCCCTACCAGGGTTGTGGTGAGATGGTTTCAGTGTTTCAGCTCAGAGAGGCCCACAGGAAGCCTGTGGTCACACAGCCTTCACAAGGTGAGTCCAGGCATGGGCGCTTGCTCCGATACCCTGCAGTCACCCCGGATGTCTACACTGCCACTGCCTCACGTCAGATTTTGACCATGTCCTGGGACATTAACCTTCATGGGTCTCTTCGCCCCTAAAAATATGTTAAAATTACTTCACAACAGCATTTGATGGAGAACAGTGTTAATTTGTATCTTGCAATGTGTTCTTGTGTCTAAAGTTCTTTTGGTCTGTTTTTAAGAGAAATTAAAAGTTTCTTAGGTTGGAGAGCTTGCCTAACACGCACAAGGCCTTAGGTTCAGTCAAAGAAATGTTCAGTGTTCCCTGGGACCCCTCACATATTTCAGTGCTGTGCCTCCTGCCATCAGCAGAAGTTGGCCTCATGAAGATGGCCTCCTGCCCTGAGGGCCTGAGTGGATTCTTCTAAAAACAGCCACTTCCTCCCAGGGTCAGGGGTCTGTGGCCTTGGGCACCTGGAACCCTGGGGATACCTATGTCTATTTTGGTGTCAAAACAAACAAACAAGCAAGCAACAACAACAAAAACAAGGCCTTTTGTGGGCTGCCTGAGGTCAGAGGGTCAGGGGGCCTGAAACGGAAAAGCTGTAAGAATGCCAGGTGTCATCCCAGGATTCTTCTCTCTAAACACAGTGAGATGCATTTCGCTTTGGAGGAGCCAGGCTTAGCCCCGCACTTCCTGGCGGGGCAGCCAAAAACACCGCTCTGCACCTCAAAGTGCCTGTCTGTGAGGTGGGCACAGTAACAGACTTGCCATGCCTGCCGTCTCAGCAGTGATTAGCAGCTCTTTTTTATAACTGCTCAAATCACTCTTCCGGCTAACCCCAGAGGCAGCAGGTCAGGACACCGCAGACGTTCTGATAAACAACCTCGGCTAGCAAACAACCTACTGGTGCAACCGTGGCCCTGAGCACATTGTCAGAAGCTGCTGAGGGGTCTCTACCAAAGCCTACTCAACAGTGTGCCCCATACTTCTCATGGCTCCCTCTTGTCTAGCAGGCGCCCCCTCAACTTCTAGAAAGTTCCCAAGTGCCAGGGATCTCTGAGCAGAAGAGATCTGGGCTGGGTAGGCATCTAGCAGGCCTCTGACTTCTGGATTACGGATTAAGGTTCCGCCATGCCAACGTCTACGTTTAGCAGACTTCTCCTCCCCACCCCCACTGCCACAGGCCGTGCCCCCCAGGTCACCTTCAGCATGCTTCTCCTCTGAAATCCCAGCTCAGAAGGAAGAGAGGCCAAGAGCCCAGAGACAGGAGCAGCCACCTACTTGGGTCTTTCGGGCTCTGCTAGTCGGGAGGCCCATGCTGCAGTAGGTCCGTTTGGGGCCGTGACAGTCACACCAAGCCTGGGACTGGAGCATACGAGTGGAGCCGGGAAGAGCGCTGGGTCAGCCAGGACAGCAGTGGCTGTGATGCTGTGATTGGCTCGGCATGGAGCCACTGGCCCTTCCTGGTTCTAGCCACACCAAGGGGCTATGCAGGGAACTGCAGGAACGCCCCAGGGAGGGCAGGTAGGGACCATGGGCCAAGGTTGCTAGGAAAAGCAGAGCTATTGCCTGCAGAGACAGGGTTGCTAGGCGACTGTCTGTGTTACCGGGGGCCTTCACGTCATCACTAACCTGTGTCTCTGCAAAGCTGGCCAAGGGCATCCCTCCCTAGAGAGTAACAGCCCAGCCCAGCCTGTCCCCAGCCTCACATCTTCTGAGTGTGTACCTGGGACCACTGAGTGTCAGCAAAGCTCTGTTCTTCCCTGAGCCCAGGCCCAAAAGCTCTCTGACTTTAAAACTGCGGGTGATCACTCGTGTGGGTATGTGTGCTCCAGGTGTCTGGGCTCTGTGGCCACATGCCAACACATACATGGGTGCCTCTATGCACACATGTGAGCCTGTGGGATGATGCATGCGTGTAAATGTGTATGTGAGTGTGTGTATATGTGTCATACATAGACACAGGCATGCTCAGCTATGCACGGTGTTTGAGAGCACGTGCATAGCTGTACGAACATTTGGGTAGGCCTGTATGGCCACTGGCCTTTGAGGGTGTCTCAGTTCAAAAGCAGGGCACATTCTAGAATTTTCAGGCACTCAGGGGTCAGGGGGGGAGCGACCCAGGACCCAGAGACAACACTCTGCACAGAGCTGGGTGGAAGGCAGAACACACACCAGGCTGCACAGTGAAGAGGCCATCTCTGGCACTCCCACCTAGCTCTGGTGTGGGGGGAAGACCCAGAGGGCAGAAATGGGCGGCACACACTTAAGTTTCCCAACAGAAAGATTTTCACAGTGCTAGGGATGGGATGGAAAGGTTTCAAAAAAATTTTTTTGCATATGTATGTGTGTGGTATGTTGAGGCATGTACTCTCCCTCCATCACCCTCCCCTGTATTCATTAAGATTCTCTCAATTGAACCCAGAGCTAATCCAACTGACTAGTCTAGCTAGCCAGCTTGCTCTGGGAACCTCATTTCTACCCTTCAAGGGTTAAATTACAGGCAGGCTACCATGTCAGTTGACATTTATGTGGATTCTGGAGATCTGAGCTGCCTGTCCAGTCCCTAGAGAGACAGCTCTTGAGAGATGAGGTAGACACTGAAGAAGATGGAGGCAGACAAGGAGACAATGGGGTTTTCTGTCAAGGTTGGGAAGACAGAATGTAAACTGAGCAAGAGCGACCGGAGAACTGATGCTAACCCATAGAATTCTACCTCAGCTGCTAAGCTGGTTTCTTGCCTGGGGATGAAGCATTCCTTAGTGGGAACAGAACATTAGTCACCGATGGACCCTTACTCCAGACAGGTTCCACGGCACCCATTGACCACTGTCTCTGTGGCCCCTCTGCAAAGGCTGCTGCTGTTGGCCCCCTACAGCTGTGGGGGTGGACACTGGAGGGGGAAGCCAATTGCCAGGGAACCCGGATGACAGGCATGGTGCCATTTCTGGAGCGAAGCTGTGCTCTGAACGCTTGTGGTGTTGCCCAGCCTGAGGTCTGGCCAGTGAAACAATGCAGGGATTGCAGGCCTGGGTCTGGTGTTGTAACGGTGGGAGGCATGGCAAATACAGGCACCGAGGCAAGGGGTCAGAGTAGGGGACAGATCGGTTTCCTCTGCCCACAGATGCTTCCTGCTCTCCTGCTCACAATCTTAAACGATCCCTGTGGCCTTTGGGAAACCGGGCCCAAGGCTGGCACAACCTGCTTCAGAGACAGCCTGCTTTGAACACTGGCTGTATGGGGGCTCTTCTCATCCTGTGCCCTTTCACTGGTGAGTCCTCCAGACCCTCCTCATTGCCCATCTCTGCTTGTGTGCTTGCTTGGCCCGTGCCCTCTCCTCACTCACTCTCTGCTTTCTCCCAGCCCACAGCCCCCTGCTCTGTCAAATCTTACCCCAAGTCTCCAGCTCCTAACTAGATCAGGGATCTGCCTTCCATTTTTTTAATCTTTATTCAAAAATTCACTGGTTGGACTTTAACGCTGTTCCATGTGGATGTGGAAATCCAGCATTACTGGACAACAGAGCAGAATCCAGGGCAGCTGTAGACACTGTCAGAGAGCATCACAGGACCACTGGAGTATATGTGTGTACAAACATGGGTGTGGACATGTGTGTATACACATATGTGTGTGGACATCTGTGTATGTATGTGTGTATGTGTGTGTGCATGCATACATAGGGGAGACCTTAGTTGTTCTGTTAAGAGAGAAGTACTGTGAGCTCAATACATGTGTTCACTAATGTATCTATGTATGCCAATAATTTTATATTTATTTAATGCCTACTGTATACCAGGCACTGTTCTCAATTCTAGGATTCGGTAGTGAAAACAGCAGGCTCAAGTCTCAGGTTTCACAGGGGTGCACTTGTGTGAGTTGGAAGGGGACTATCGGGCAGTGGGTTCGTTGTGAGCACAGTGGACCCCAGCTTTCCAATTCCTTTGGTCAATGCCAACAGTGTTCATCACAGAACAAAGGCCAAAAGCACCCCACCCCCTGAGCCCCTAATCCCACTGCCCAAGACTAGTTACTCACACAGACTCCTTTTCCTCCTCCTCCTCTTCCTCCTCTTCCTCCTCCTCTTCTTCCTCCTCTTCTCTTTCCTCTTCAATCAGTGGCATCTCCCTGAGTCAGGGCCAGAGCAGAGAACTGAGCCCTCCATGGCCGCTCCAGCCCTCCTCACCCTGTCTCAGGCTTCCCAGCAAAGCTCCACCTAAAGCTCATACCAGCGGCCCCAGGCTCTCTCTAGCCACAGCCTTTCTACACTGCCCTGATGGTGACTCCAGGACAGCTCTGAGCTTCAGTGAGCCTCGGTTTTCCCTTACGTATTTCTTAGCAATGCAGGCCAGAAGCTAGAATTGCTCATCATAACAGCCCCCTCTTTTTCCGCATGCTTCCCTGACTTGAAGTCAAATTATTTTGCTCAACCATCATGCTTCAACACAGGCCCAAGAGCCACGGGACCACTGCCCATGGACTGAAATTCCAAAGCTACGAGCTGAAACAAACTTTCTTTCTTTATAAGCTGGTGACCTTGAGTATCTGATTGCAAAAGAAAGCTAACACACTTAAAACTAAATGTCACCAGTGATCCAAGAAGGGAGTCATGTGAAAAAAATCCTGAGTGCTTGTGAGAAAACTCTAAGAACACAAGACAGGAGTCTTGAGACCCGTCTCTTCAAAAACACAGAATTGATTGATCTTGAAGTGTGCTTTTGTGCCCCTCCCAGGTGTAGCGCCTAGGAGTGAGTCCGTTTTGGATTATTCATTACAACTGGCTATTGTTATTTGTTTGTATGCCTGCCTCTACTGAAAAATATGTTTTTGCCACGTGTGGCTTGTCCTTGCAATTGTTCGATTTGCTCAGGTGACTCTTCTTAACCCTCAGTAGAAACTGTCTGATGCTCTGAATAAAGCTGGCTATGGCGTGAGACTTCAGTCTGCCTCAGTTTCAGGCCCTGCTCTCCCAGGTTCGCTACCAACTACCAACCAGAAGTAAACAGTGGAGGACTTGCTGAGGCTGGGCTCAGTGACACACACCTTTAATCCCGGCACTTGGGAGGCAGAGGCGGATAGATCTCTGTGTTTCAGGCCAGCCTGGTCTACATAGTGAGTTCCAGGCCAGCCAAGACTACATAGTGAGACCTTGTCTAAAAACAAACAAAAATGGTGCTCTAGCCATATAACAGAATACTATACAACTATGAACACACTGAGGATGATTTCCACCTAGAGAATTATGGGAAGCGTCACGGCATATTATTGACCAAATATAACAAAGGGCAGATAGGTGCACATGATATGCCATCTTTTGTACAAACAGAGAGGGGTTGTCCTGGTTAGCCTTAATTGCCAACTTGGCACAGCCTAGAGTTGTCTGAGAGGAGGAGCCTCAAGAACTGCCTAGATCAAACTGGTCTTTGGGTATGTCTGTGGGAGATTGTCTTGATTACACAGGCAGGCCCAGCCCACTGTGGGCGGTACCATTCCCACAGTGGTCTTGGGCTACATAAAAATCTAGCTAAACATAAGCCTGGAGGGCAAGCCAGCAAACAGCATTCCTCCATGGTTTCTGCTCCAAGTTCCTGCCTCAATCATGAACTTCCCTCAATCATGAACTATGACCTGGAAGTATAAGCAGAAATAAACTCTTTCCTCCCCATATATTGCTTTGAATCAGTCTTTCATTACAGCAACAGAATCAAACTAGAAGAGGGTGTTAACCAGACTTTCTCTGAAACAGGACCTGGTAGCCACGTGCCCAGAGGCTGAGCACAGGTACTGAGGGTGGACAGGCAGGTAGGGTCCTTCACTGGACTCTTTCATGCTTTTAGGATTCCCCACTGTATAGCTGGCACTCCCTCAAGCACTGACTCTTTTTCCCAGGGCTTCTCTGTTTTCCCACCTGGGCATCTCCACCATGGCCTCACTCTCTTCTTCATAAACCAGAACCATCTCTGTCTCCTGCAGGCTGGCACTGTCCTCCTGCTGGGTGTCCTCCCAGCAAGGGTCCACCTCCTCCAGGATAAGATCTTGCTCCACCTGTTCCACCGGGAGGATGCTGACTGCAGAGGATAAAGAGGAGCCATTTGTGGGGGAAGAAAGGTAGCTTGGATCCCTGAGTCCTGGGGGGGGGTTCTATCCTGGGGGTCCTACCCCAGCAGTGTCTTGGGTCCTATCTGGCTGTGTTACCACAGGATCATAAGCGGCCAGCTCAATGTCCCAAGGACAGCCTCAAACAACAAGGCCCATCTTTCTGCCTCCTCCCATGATGCTCCTCCACCTTTTCCCTCTTGGGTTCAAGTTCTGGTTACAGCTGACCAAGCTTGCTTCTCATCAGGGCTTTCCTTGTTAGAGGGTTGGTTCAAAGCAGAAAGAATATTCTATTCACAGCGTCACAGCTGATGTCAAAGGACCCAGACTAAACACTTCACAACCCCCAGGGACAGGGAGCCCTGGATTGTCCCAAGAGGTGCAGAGAAAGCCTGCTCCTTGCCTATTTCCTGGGGACCATCTCTTGGTGACAGCATGTCTGCGAGCTCAGCCCCTGCTTTGCTTCTGGGGACCTTGTCCATCTACCTAGAATCGCCACTCTTTAAGACAACATGACTTTTTGGGGGTGGGGGAGGGGACATGGAAAATAATTACAGATGCCTGTGACTTTTTGACTTCTTCCATTTCTCCCTGTATCCCTCCCCTGAGTCGAAAGTGGTCTGAGTCTGTGCCCTTGGCAGAAGCAGGTTTAGACAGCTAGTGCGGCGACTCACACCAGCACGTGAGAAGCAGAAGCAAGGGGATTTCAGTGGGGAGGACCGAGATATGGTGCGTCCTTTTAGATGCTCTGAGCATGAGCGTTGGCCCCTCAAGAGCATTTCCTCTCTTCATCCCTGTAGCAGGGCTACAAAGTGCCTTAGAATATTTCTGTTTACAGATAAATATGCCACAACTCTGGGCCCAGTCACCAACCAAGAAAGGTGAGGGTGGGGTGTAGCTGGCATATACCCATGATAATGGGGGGGGGGGCTGGAGGGATGGCAGGCCCCTGGGAGAAGAAGCTGCCTCTAATGCTCCAGCCCCAGTCTGCTTCTTGTTCTCCACAGCCGACCTAGGAGTCCAATGCTGGCCAGCCCGTGTTTAACTTTCACCGCTGGAGTCTTTCATGGACATGCTACCTTCCAGTCAGCCATCTGTTGCCTCCAGAGCCACTGCATGAGATTCTGAGCCCCCGTCAGTGGCAGCCAGCTGCACCCATGAGATAGAAGCTCCTGCTCTCGGGGCCAGCTGTAAGGGCGTCTGGGCACATAGGCTCTCGCCAGACCAGATGCTCTGGCCTCAGGCGTCCTGAAAGCCAGCGCCCAGGCTTCAGTCTATCCTCTCTAGCAAGCATGGCTCATGTCTTCCCTTCCCTCTAGCCCAGGCTCCATCTCTCCTGGCTTACTCTGCTCTGCAGTGTAGACCCTGCCTCACCACACACATCTCTGGAGGTATGGTCTAGCACTCCCATCACCAAAATCACGTGCAGAGGCAGGAGCCTCTCAGAAAGGCAGATTCCCAGGATGCCCGTACCTGAGTCATGAGGTCTGAAGGCAGGACAGTCTTCATAATTGAGCCCGGTCACGTGAGATGGGCTCCTGCCTAGAGTACATCCCCCGCCTGCAGGATTTGCTCAGCCCCAGCGTAATCTGTGTAAAGCCAGTCCCTGCTCAGCCACCTTCAGGGCCTAGAGCCTCATCCTCGCAGGTTTAGTTAAACTGCTGGTTTTGACTTCACCATCAAGGACTCAGGATCCCAGATAGCTGACCTGCCTGAGGTTCTCCAGCCCCATGCCCCTCCAGGCATTTCCCACGTTATTCTCTGTGCAAGACTGCCCTTTCTAACTGCCAGCTCAAGGCATCGGGTGTCTCAAACTCAAATTCAGATGGTAGATAAGAATGGGGCGACAAGGACCATCTGCCTGAGGTGACAGGTGCTATTTAGACCGTTTTCATGAGCACAGCATGGACCACCACAGCCAGACCAATCCAGTTTCTGTCAGAACTCAGACCCTTCTGTGGAAAGCTGAAGTTTATCTATCTATCTGTCTATCTATCTATCTATCTATCTATCTATCTATCTATCTATCTATCT